TTAAACAATTAAAAAAATGGTCCAAACATTGTGGAAAAATATGTACAATGTTTTTACATTAATACTCTGTGTTTGTTTGTTAATACTTATTCTATTAATTACTTAATTGTGTAATGGGAATCAACTTTGAAGTTTGAATTATACAATACATAATACTTTATTTGTTGTAGGGTTACTACTTGCTCTATAGAGGTGATGGATCTTGTGGAGTCAATCAAATGGTTTCTTCAGCAATTATTGAATAATTTCTTGTTAAATTTTAATTAAACAATTAAAATATTTTACAAGCCATTAAGAATTCTCAAAATTACGTACTTAATATCAAACATTGTATTAATGTTTTCAATTGATCTATATAGAATTTTATCATATTAATTAAACTTATGAGTAGATTTTTAGTGTATCTAACATTGTCTTGTATCAATAATACAATTTAGTTTATATAACTTAGTCTACTTAATTTTTTTATATCTTATATTACTAAGTATGTTATTTTTTTTTATTCTTATATTATACACAAACTTATTTAGTATCAAAGTAATAACATTTATTTGTTTACATATTTTTTAAAAAAAATTTTTATTAGAGCTTCTTAGTATAGCTCGACAATTATAGTGCATCTATGATAATGAGAAATAAAATAGGAAAATTAACTGTAGTATATATATATATATGTTTAACAATAGAATAAAAACCAATATAATGATATTAAGACACTAAAAAATATTAATAATATTAAATTACGAAACCAGCTTCCAATATTAAGTTAGTTTTATTTTTAATGACCATTTCAGATTTAATATTGAGTATAGAAGGAAGATAGGGGGAATGTTAAGAGACTTTAGATGGCTGAACAGAGACAAACGCTTAGAATATAATGATGGACTGTTTATTAGTAAATGAGAGAGATCACAGACGCTTTAAGATTAGTGTAGTTGTAAGCCAAGTATGTGTGCTTGATCTGGAAGAAGTAAATGACCCATGCAGAGTTGGTTAAAACATACAATAGTAGGCCTTGGTAAATCTAGGTTGTAAAACCAAGTTTTTTTATTTGAGGTAATGGAAAAAATAGTTTTATATTTAGATGCAATGTTGGCAGGCAGATTATTCCAGTAGTTGGGCCACAGACTGGTAATGTGATGACGTAGTAATGGGGTAAAATGGGTTTAAGGTAATTGAGCAAGAGAAGGTAAGATTGCGTTGGAGGTAGCTTTAGCAAGCCTGTCAGCCATTTCGTTGCCATGTATGCTGATATGGCTCGGAATCCATATTAGTTGAATAAGGCGATTGGACTGATTGAGAAAATATACATATGATTTAATATGAAAGACAAGACGGTATAATTTAGAATTTAACGGATTTGATACCAGAGATTGTGAACAATACATAGAGTCTGAAGCAATAAAGTAATTATTAGGTGCTAAATTTGAAATAAATAAAAGGGCTACGAGAATAGCATGACGCTCAGTGGTATAGAAAGAGGATGAAGGGGGAGATTTTTGGAGAAAGAAACGTTTAGTTCAGGTATGTAGAAAAAATATTCAGCTTAAAGGGGTGAAACTGAGAAATCAGTATAAACGATAGTGAAGTTAGGATAATTAAGGTTGATGTAATTTGACAAATATTTATTGACCACAAAATGAGGTATTGATTTAAGCTTAATTTAAGACAATACAGAGAAGTTGTCAATTTTAACGAGGGGAGTAATAAGGAGAGAGTCGTAAGGTTGCTCATAAAGTAAAAGTTTATTTGATTTTATAATATATTATCTGACGTTGTTCATGACTGACGACTGTGTCTTTGTTATCCGTAGATAAGGAGTTGGTATAATCGAAGGCTGAAGTCGACGTATTTAAAATCGGAATATTGTTAATAATATCACAGAATATATGAAATTTCATTTATTCTGTAATAATATGTTAAAGTCCGGGGGACGTGGGTATAAGTGTATCTATATTTGACTTACGTGTAATTTTGGTTTTTTTGGAGGTGACGAGGGTGTAGCTGGAATCCAAAATACGATTAATTAAAGGTTTTATTTTTTTTGGAGCTAAAATATACGTACTTAAATGCGTAAGTTGTATATATTTAAGCCATTGGTTACGCCGTCTGACAACGACGTGTGTATAGGTAATATAGTTGTACTAACAATTTGTTACAGTAACTGTGATACGAGTACATAGTTGTTTTTCTAGTGAATTAAATACATTTTTTTTTAAATTCAATGTGATCTCATCACCAGTGCCGCAACTAGAGAGGAATGGGCCACGGTGCGAGTTAAATTTTGGGGCCCCTATTTCAATCCTTTATGTCTTAAATGGGCCCCCTAAATATTATAATGTAGCCCTTTTGGAGGTGCAGTGCACCCCCGCTCATTGCGGCGCTGCTCACCACCATTTCAGTGGTCTCCCACTGTGCATTGAATTCTTTTCTGTTGTAGATATGGCTAAAGATTCATTGCCTATATAGGAATAAGAAGTACCAATAATTTTATTAATGATACTATGATTTAGTTTTTGGGTTCCAAACATTGAGACATAAGCATGTTAGATTTTAATAAATTATATTTGAAAGATATGGCGATTGCAATATTGCATATTTAAATTTATAATATAATACAGTAAATAATAAGCATAGAATAAAAATTGTTAGCTTGTAAGAAGATGAAGTGTAAGAACAAACATCAATTTAACAATTGTCTTCATTGGATTAACAGATTATCTTAAAGTTCAAATTTAAATAGGTAATTTAGCAGTTAGAAAAGTTATTAAAACCAAGTTGCAAGCAATGAAGAATCTTGTATTCAATTTTTAAATCTTAGATATAAAAGGAAAATTGTTTATACATTTTTAACTCAAAATAAATTTAAACATTTGTGATTTTGTTAAAATTGAAAATTCCAACTCCAGACATCATATAAAATATTGTGAATTTAACTTTTTTTTAAGAGAACTCTACATTCGCCAATGGTGTCTCCGTCTTACCAATGTACAAAATAGCAAAAACTGTTCAACGCGGGACAACATACTTGTACTCCCTTTGTACTTATAGACAATAGCATAATGATTATTGTCAAAATACCACAAGTATGGGACGCATAGGGAAGAACATATCCTTAATTGTATATATGTAATCCAATTAATGCTACCACAGGTAGTTCTCCCCTATGACGTTGTGGAATTTTAGTAATTCTGTTATAAATACAGAGGGAGTCTGAGTTGTCCCGCACTCCCTCTAAAAACAGTTGTTTCCATGTTACACATTCGTCAGACCTCGACATCACATGCTGGAGTAGTGTCTTTCTTAATTCCAATGATGACTAACTTATGAGAAACCTTATTGTATTAAATTTTTAAGTGTTTTGACTGATCGAAAATATTCTCGACAATAATTTAAAAAGGGCGAAAACTGTTTACCCGTATGCCTACGTATATAAACACTAAAAAGAGTAAAAATATTTTGAAAATGGAATCATCCATAGAAAATGATAAAATAACATTGGGTGAATACCTATTTAAAGTGTTTATGGTAATGACTTATTAGTTATTAGTTATTACTAATAGGTTAATGAGTTATTACTTTACTAGTTACAGTAGTTACACCATGTCACCATGTACGGCATAAACTGCTTTAGGGTTTTATTAATTTTTTTTTTGATTATTTATATTTAATCAATATGTAATTTTTCGCTGGGTCAAAAAGCTTGAAAATGTAAATCAAGGTTCCTAATGCGTCGTTATGATAACAATATAAAAATGTTGAAGATACAAAGACACAATTTCTTTTATTATTAAAGTTGAAGCCTCGATAACAGGATCATTATAATATATAATGGCTTGTGTATAAAACTTTTTTCAAAACAACCTTTTTTCATGTACATTTTCTGTAACAGATGAATTAAAAAAAACGAATAATAAAAAAAGGACATCTCTATGATTCCGCCCCTGACTAGGAGGCTTTTAAGCTTTTATCGCTTCACTAATCACTTGCCAAATGCCAATCTTCACACATTTATTATTTTTATTTTTTTCAATAGAAATAGTATTACATTTGTAGTAATATTTCAGCAAGAGCCAGCCTGAATCCCTACTATTATCATTATTTTCACTAGCTCAGAGCTCTAGTTCTGTAGTGCTCGCGACCAAAGTATGTATTCGGCGTCGCAGCAAAATTGTTTTTATAGATCCACGTTTTAAATTGAAACTGTTAATTTATCGTAAATTGTTCAGTTAAAATCAAATTGTGTTACACTAAATGGTTTTTCCTGACAACATTGCGTAGCAGTCGTATGTCCTCCCGGTACGTCATAAGTTATAACAAATCACAATTTCAATCAATATGCAAAATTATAAACGTATGTTTGAATTTAAAGCAAGAAAAATCCCGCCTATTTAGGAATCTCTTTGGAAGTATATAATCAAAATGGACGTCTACGATGAATCATAATTACTCACCGTTTGTATGGGTATGTCCACTTATCTGCTTTGTGGAAATAAGGTAAGTACAAGAAAAAATCGATAGGTATGTCGGCAACGATACGAGTTTTGGACCAATTCACGCAACACCTTTCGTCTCCACATGATAGGTAAACACTCGGCCAATGAAAAGTGGTGAACCATACTGTCTTGGTAGGGCGGAGTTGTATTTGAGCGGTGGCCATGCGTATCAATAAGTTTCTGACATACCTTTCCTTCATGAGTCTTTATAAACATTTGATTATTCTTTATTTCTTTGTATTTTGTTATGACTAATGTTATATTATTGTTGTTTGATGCTAATGTTTCAAATGTTTGATTATTATTACGATTCACAATATTATGGCATTCGTATTCGGTGATATCATCGTTTCGTTCTCAGTTGTTCTGTGTAGTGCAATCCGGTATTCGTCATAACTTGGGTGTTGTCTTCATTAGGTATATGCGTACACTAATTTGAAAGTTCCAAATAGTTTACAACTATCTTCGACGTTAGTACAGTGACATAGAACCTAATAATACAACATGACTGATCAATTTGGTCCCATTACTCTAAAATGGGATCCCAAAAATCTGGAGATACGAACTATGTCTGTGGAAAAAACATTAGAACCATTAGTCTTACAAGTAAGTACCTACAGTTAAATCAAAATAATCATTTACTCAAAAAATACCTAATGTTGGAAACTGTTGCAGGTGACTACTTTAGTTAACACTAAAGGAACTTCACGTAAGAAGAAAGGACGTTCAAAAAGAGCTCATGTTCTAGTTGCTGCTGTTGAAAAAGCTACAGAGAATTTTATTGAAGTTGGAGAACAAATCGCTTTTGAAAATCCCGATATAAAACAAGAAATGTTAGCTGCAGTTGAAGAAGTTCGAAAAACTGGTAAATTCAAAATAAATCTCTTTAAAAGTTAAAAATCTGCTATATCAACATATACTTCTTTACAATGTTTAAAAAACATTGTTTGGCAATATATGAATTTAATGACACCTGTAGAAAACGTAAACATCCCTAGATAGATAAATTGATAAATTCCTTGAAAAAAAAGTATTCCACCGTATTTTGACTTGCGTAAACCCTTTCTATTATGGACATGGACAGTAATATTTTTCCCGATATCATATTAATGGATAACAATCTTCGTTCAAGTTCAAATATAATTTCCTACGTTTGTAGATATTACACAGCTGCATTGGCTGTCGCAATAACTGTTTCCAATTACATGTCAAGGCACGAATTATCATATTTTATACCTACTCTATTGCACGATAATAATAACATTTATTTTAAAAGGACTCCTCACCCGGCTCACCCGTTTAAAACGCACAAACAGTTTACAACTCATAATTTACTTCAAAATTAAAATATAAAAAAAAATCTTTGAGGTTCACTAGATAATAATCTAACTTCTAAATATGATAATAGGTCAATTCGCTCCAATATAAATCATAACAGAGTTGAATCGGTTATTTAGAAAGTAGAATTTGCCATGTTATGCGTTTGTAAGACAGAGACAACACATGCGGGTATGGCGTCCTCTTAAAAGCCACTAGCATACAACTAATATAACAACAAGTGCAATATAATTAAGTTAAAATTATCATAAATAAACAGTATATTATCAATATAATAAAACCAGCATCTTGATATTTGTCAATGATGTGCATCATCCACTAACTTTAGGATGTTAGCGTGATCACATGGTTCTCGACTCATCAGTCGCATCATTCACATTGCTCAAAAAGTGATTGTTCTTTGAGACAGAGTATAGGTAATATTAAATAAATACTCGCTAGTTAGACTTGAGTATATTAATCGATTGATATAATAAATGCCAGATTAAGTAATAAATAGGCCTACTTTTTTTAAATGCATTGCCTATAATTGTACTTCAGTTGTTGTAAAAGAGTGACGAGTTATAATATTCTTAAAGATTTTAATGTTTAATTTTTTTTAATATTTAAAATAGAAATTTTTGTATAAATACCTTAACAATATATTTAATATAACTAATTTTAAACTTATAATTTTAATATAACTAATAAATGACATACATTCATTTTTGCTTAAAACCCTTTAAGAAAATAATACATAACTATTTTTTGTACTGCTCAAAGAAAAGTGTGACTGTTTTGGTAGCATACTTTTATGATTGGTAGACTATAAGAATTTTTCAATTTTAATACAGTTTGATGTTATGTTTGGAAAAGTTGTGGCATAAAAGTTATTATGTTATATAGGTGATGCTATGAGTATTGCTGCAAGAGAGTTTGCTGAAGATCCTTGTGCTTCAGCGAAACGTAGCAATATGGTAAGAGCGGCAAGAAATCTATTGTCAGCCGTAACACGCCTACTTATACTTGCAGATATGGTTGATGTGCATTTACTATTGAAGTCTTTAAGAGTTGTAAGTATTACTAACTTTTATTAATTATTTAATATAATATTTTATTAAGTAGCTTATTCAACATATTAAAGATAAAAATATACCTATATTTTTAATTAAATTTTAGGTTGAAGACGATTTGGAAAAAGTTAAGAATGCTTCGAGTCAAGCTGAACTTCTTGACAATATTAAAGTTTTTGGTCGTAGTGCTAGTGAACTTATGAGTCAAGCTGCAAAACGTCAACAAGAATTAAAGGATCCTCAATTACGCGATGATCTAGCTGCTGCTCGTGCTATTTTAAAAAAACATTCCACAATGCTGTTAACTGCTTCCAAAGTAAAATTTTAGTAATCTAATATCCAACTAATGTTAAATTATAAATAATAAAATTTATTCTCAAGGTTTATGTAAGACACCCAGAACTAGCTGCAGCTAAAGCTAATCGTGATTTTGTATTGAAGCAAGTGTGTGAAGCTGTAAACACTATTAGTGATGTTGCCCAAGGTCGATCTGCAGCAATGAATGATAATGGAAATCAAATTTATGATGGCCCTGGTGAATTGGCTGCTGCACTTGATGATTTTGATGTAATTACATATAATTTAATTCATACTAAAGGAATTCAGAGGAAACATATTAAAGGAACACACAACACAACAATGTTTTTCAAATTATTATTAAATGCTAATTCATTGTAGTCAACATTTCTAAACACGATTTTATCAAAGTAAAATCTAAACAAAAATATTATTTAAGGAGATATTAGAATATCTAGAATTACTGCTTGATGTCACTATGGCCAAGGCTCAGCATAATCGCCTATCTTACACATGAATAAGTTGCTTGCTTTACACTATGATTTAACAACCAAACCATTTTATTGTTGTTTGATGTATGTTGAAATATGTGATTTTTGTGCTAAAAACACCAGAAGTATCAGAATGTCAATATAATGTTAAGTTTTTTTTATATTAAAAACACGAGATATTTACATTACGTACATATTTTAAATACAATGATTCAGTGCGTCAATTTATATGATACACATTTTAAATATTTTTTTTAAAAAAACTAAACATACCATATATGTACAACAAAAATTGGAAAATAGACTTAAAAGGTTGGTAAATTATTGTGTGAAGTGAGTGACATTTATACGTATATATAAAATACACCAGCGGTTCCCAAACCCTTAAAAAATTGTTTGTGTTCCGCGGAACCCTAATGTCTAATCCAACTCAACTACAATTTTTCTAAATAAAAAAAGGAAAATCAATTCTTCTAAACTCTCAAGTCTAAATAATATTTTTAATGATACTGTTAATGACTATTCATTATTAAAATTAGTTTTAAAAAAAATTTTCAATCAAAAATTTTTAAATAATAAACATTAAATGAACATCATTTTCTCAATAATCTCATACATCCGGCGGAACCCTTGACATTGTCCCACGGAACCCTAAGATTCCGCGGAACACACTTCTTAGACAATTACCACGGACCTGTCCCCTATGACGTCACTCCTATTTTAATTTCTCATAACTCATTGAATTATGGGAGTTTAAGCATTAAACCTATACCATTATCTTGAGAATTTAACATCCTTTCAAAAAAAAAAAAACTCATGTGTTTTGTGCTCCTTTTAAAAAATTCTATCATATTTATTATTATCAATATAATTGCAAATGGAAATTATTTCATACCCATTGTTGTCAATTGTACCAATTAAACTAATGAATGTGTATCAGATCTCATTTTCTTATGTATTTAATTTAAACTTCCACAAAATATAATTTTAAGATCTCAACATTTCAGAAATTTAATACATTTATCATGAATTTAAATAAATAATTAATGACATATTCAAATCTGATTTCAGAAGTCTTATCTGATATATAGATCAATTGGTACGATGGGACAATAAGTAAATACTTCTAAAAGGTTTTCTCACATAACCGTGTGGTATAGACATGTGTGTACTAAAGCTATGCATTAGGGTAGATGTACACACACATTAATTAACACTTATTATACACACAACCACACTGTTTACGCGCACATAAATTACTTAGTTCCTGTAATGAACTCCTTTAAATCAAACCATTTGCACTTATTTAATATATAAAAAAAGACCTGTTAAAGTTCTTAAATTATATGTCATTTTTCTATTGCATCTTAAACCTTAAGTATTAACTCAATGTTAGTAATATCCTATTACCAATATTATGATAAAAAAAAATTAGTATAAATATCATTTACTAATATGGATACAATCCATATTAATTTATGATTTTTTTAAATGTAGGTATCTTTTTATGTTTTGTATTTTAGGAAAGAATGGTTATGGATCCTCTTGTTTATAATGAAGTTCGTACTCGTCCTTCTTTAGAAGAACGACTTGAAAGTATTATTAGTGGAGCTGCATTAATGGCTGATTCTTCATGTACCCGTGATGAACGTAGAGAAAGAATTGTTGCTGAGTGTAATGCTGTGCGCCAAGCATTGCAGGATTTGCTGTCTGAATATATGTCAAATGTATGTATTGTTTCAATAAGTATACTAATATGAACTTTGTTTTAAAATATTACATGTAACCTTCACATTCCATCAAGAATTATTATTTTTATGTTGGTGTTTGCAGCAATTGCAACTCCAAAGGGTCGGAAAAAGGGTATGGTTTATGGTTTTTGTTAAAAACAAATTGTTCTTCCTTGCACTTAACACTAAAGTTTTAGAAATAGACAACAAAATAAATTCATTTTGTGTACCTTTTTTATTCACTGTTGGCAATTTTTTTTTTTTTAACTAAATTTGACACTTAAATCACTTAACTGTGTTTTCTTAGTAGTTGTACGTATTTAAAGAATTTTCCCACAACTTTAAATTCATACTTTCATTTATTAACATATTAAAATATGTTTGATTGCACGATCTTTTTTTTAGTGAGTCAAGTAGAGTTTAATATTTATTATTTAATACTGAATATATTATACTGATGCCAGATCATATAAACAAACACTCAACACTTAATGAACCAATAGTGATTGAATGGTCTAAGTTAATATATTTTTTATACAACTCAGCCTAAATATATAAAAAAATCCTTGTTTTATAACCATAAGTTTATAATAATTTATCATCCACTGTGTTTAATCTTAACACTATACTAAGTAAATTCCATAAACTGAGTTAATTGTATTAAACTCTATTTGAGCACTATTTATGGCACAATAGCAATCCTATAATATACAGTGTGTCTAGAAATCTTAGAATCCACACATTTAGGGATTACATAATATAACACAAAATGATTTAAAATTACATTAACTTATAATGGTCAACTTAAAGTATAGTATTATAAGTAATAACAATTAACATGTGATAAGTGATTAATAATCACTGATTATGTACCATTAAAAATTTAAGACTTTTTAATGGTGTTTAATGTTTATATATGTAAAATAGAAAATTTCAATCAAATCACTTTAAGATAATAATTAACAAATATAATGGTTTTCAAAATATTCATTATTAATTATCTATTTCTGATAATGATAACATATATTTATTAAATAAACTGTTTTGATATAATTATGCCTATTTGAATTATATACATGCCTTTCAATTTAGCAGTTGTATTTTTAAATGATTGCAAAATCAAAGACTCTATTATAGTATTATTTTATTATGTAGTTTTTTTTAAGCAATTTAAGTAATAATTCAGTCTTGTTTAATTCTTTTTTTTCTTTTCAAATATCTGTTGAGCGCCTAACAATTGTAACTAATTTGGAAGTACTTTGGTACAAATTTAAAACAATAACCACACCTGTGTTACCTTCAAGATCCAATTTCATTTTAATATGTAAATAATTGAGCTGGTACTCAGTAGTTTCTGTACTATTTGATATACTTGAGTTCTGTTCATACTTAATGGTATACATTGTGTATTACTGTTCTATAACAATGTCGCCGACAATGTTCAATTGTTTTTTTCAATTTTGCATGAATAAAAAGATCACTGTTGTAAGGCATGCCATTTGAATAATTTAGGATAAATGCTATAATTTTAAATGTAGAAATTAATTATTAATATTATTAACCTTCTATTTAATAGATGAGTGTAAAAGAAACTAGTGAAGGATTGGAACGTGCTATTGATCATATGTGTCGAAAAACTAGAGATTTGAGACGACAATTACGTAAAGCTGTTGTAGATCATGTGTCTGATAGGTAAAATAAATTGAATGTAAATGGTTAATATTTAATTTAGTTAATTCGTCTTTTGTTTGTTAAACTACAGCTTTCTAGAAACAAGTGTTCCATTACTTGTTTTGATTGAAGCAGCACATTCAGGTGATGAAAAAGAAGTTGAAGAATGTGCTCTTGTATTCACTGAACATGCAAACAAACTTGTTGAAGTAAGTTTAACTTTTATAACTGTTAATTGCTTGGTTGTTTCATTAATTTTATTTTAATGATTTTGTTTTCAGGTTGCTAATCTTGCGTGTAGCATGTCAAACAATGAAGATGGTGTAAAAATGGTACGGACTGCTGCTGCACAAATTGAGAATTTATGTCCTCAAGTTATAAATGCAGCTAGAGTACTTGCTGTTCGACCCCGCTCTAAATTGGCACTTGACAATATGGATGTTTTCAGAGATGCGTGGCAAGCGCAAGTAAGATTACTGACTGAAGCTGTTGATGATATAACGACAATTGATGACTTTTTAGCTGTTTCGGGTATGGAATTACTGTTGTTTAATATATTTTTAAGTTTGTGTATGCATTTTATTATTCTATTTTAGAAAGTCATATTTTGGAAGATGTTAACAAATGTGTTCTCGCACTACAAGAAGGATCAGCTGATCCATTGGATAGAACTGCTGGTGCAATCAGAGGCCGTTCAGCTAGAGTTTGTAATGTAGTAGCTGCTGAAATGGATAATTATGAACCGGGAATATATACTGAGCGTGTGTTAGAAGCGATTAAAGTATTACGTGATCAAGGTAAAATACAACAACTAATTATAATTTTATAGCAATAAAAGATTAAATAATGAATAATTTTTATTTATTCAATTTAGTTATGCCTAACTTTGCTCAACGTGTTGAGTTGGCGGTTGATGCCTTATCGACCAACCCTCCTAAAGAAGTAGATGAAAATGATTTTATTGATGCATCTAGACTTGTTTACGATGGTGTAAGAGAAATACGTCGAGCTGTCCTCATGAATAGGGTATACAATTAACTACATTTTTTGATGAAACAAAATAATAATAATTTGAATATTACAGACTGATGAAGAATTAGACCCTGAAGATATTGAGTTTGATGAACATTATACAATTGATACACGGAGTAGATGTAAGTGTTGTAACCTACATAAATGTACTAAGTTATGGTTGAGAAAAATTATTAAAATGCCTTTTCCTTTAAATTAGATTGGGGTCCAATCATAAAATTTTGATATTCTTTTTTTATTTAATTATTTATAACACTTTAATAATGCATGTTAAATAATTTTTTAGCAAGTGCTCATACTGGAGAACCTTTGGATGAGTACCCAGATATTAGTGGAATTACAACAGCACGTGTATGTATAGACATTATTTATGGTTTAACAGTAATATTTTAAAATATATTTCGTGATGTTGTTAATTTATTTGTCTTTATTTTTTATGTATTATAGGAAGCTATGAGGAAAATGACAGAAGAAGATAAACAAAAAATTGCTCAACAAGTTGAATTCTTTAGGAGCGAAAAGCTTAAGTTTGACCGTGAGGTAGCTAAATGGGATGATACAGGAAATGATATTATTGTTCTTGCCAAACACATGTGTATGATCATGATGGAAATGACCGATTTCACCCGGTATTTATTTAATTATTTATTATTATTATTGTTCATTAGTAATAATTACATAAGCATGATTTTTTACCCTTTCCCTGTTCTAGAGACAATTATGTCCAAAATATTTGTATCATTCACTGCTCCAGCCGCATTTTTTATACGTTCCTATATTTTATAATATTATTATTTTATGGTAAACGTACAATTTATGGAAACTTTAATTTGCATTATTTTAAACTTTAATAATTAGATTATATTTTTAGAGCCCAAAATTAAAAAAAAAAAAATAAGAAATAAATTAAAAATATTGTATTTTACGGAGCAGTATAAATGTTAAATAACATCAATTTTATTTTTAAGTGGCCGTGGACCATTGAAAACTACTATGGATGTTATAAATGCTGCTAAGAAAATTTCAGAAGCTGGAACAAAATTAGATAAGCTTACTAGACAAATTGCTGACCAATGTCCAGAATCGTCAACCAAAAAAGATTTGTTAGCTTATTTACAACGCATTGCTTTGTATTGTCATCAGCTGAACATCACTTCTAAAGTTAAAGCTGATGTGCAAAATATAAGTGGCGAACTAATTGTTTCTGGGGTATGATACTTTTATTTTATCAATGTCAATGCATTATTTTCACACAATGAAATAAAATAATAACATTTTAGTTGGACAGTGCCACATCTCTAATTCAAGCTGCAAAAAATTTAATGAATGCTGTTGTATTAACTGTGAAGTCTTCATATGTGGCCAGTACAAAATACCCTAGACAAGGAGCAGATCTCCAAAAAGTAATTATTTTATTTTATGAAAAAGAAAAGTTAATTTTTTAAAATTATTTATTTCCATAGCTTGTTGTTTGGAAAATGAAAGCCCCTGAAAAGAAACCACTTGTAAGACCAGAAAAACCTGAAGAAGTTAGAGCTAAAGTGCGAAAAGGTTCTCAAAAGAAAGTACAAAATCCAATAAAGGCTTTAAGCGAATTCCAAAGTGCTACAGAATCTGTTTAAAACGTATAATAATAACTTATTGCTATTTAGACGTTTAGCTAATATTGATTTGAAAAATAAGTATATTTACTTGTACATTAATCAATAAAAGTAAATGCCAAATAATACTAGATTCATTAAAGTTAAACATTTAATATTAATGAAAAAAATAAAAATTCAAATTTATTGTTTTATATACATGGTCTTATTGCCAAAGTTAATGAATGACAAGATGTACTTGATATGTTGGCTAAAAAAATTCTTAAATATCCAAAATAAATTATTTTTGTTGTAAGTATTAAAATCTACCAACAATCACTGTATAATCTTAGTTGATAATTAGTTTGTTATTAATTATTATAATATTTTATATTATAATCAACTTTTTTTGTATTTTTAAAATTAGATTCTCATTTACCAAATAGTAGGGTAAAATATTCTACAGTATTATTTATTATTATTTATACCGTCCTAGAAATTACATTTTAGCATTATTATTAAATTTATACAAAAAATAATAAGTACTTATTCATTTTTTTCTGTCTGGTAGAAAATTTTTTTTTCATCATTTGTCTAGATCTTAAGTATTAAGCTACATGCTTAGCACATTTTTGATATCTTATATTATTGTGTACCATAAATTATGTTTTTAATACAAAAATAAATATACCTACCAAGAATCAACATTTTTTTTTGTATCTTTAATACAAAAGCAATTTTGAAACTTTGTAAGTTTAAAGCAATCAAAATGATTCAATTTTAAGGGTTGTTTCAAGTAGTGAACTATATCTAGTTGGAACTTTAAGGGTATAAAAAACTAGGAAGTTGTTTTGCTACACAGTAAGTATCAAGTGTATCTCGTCATTGAGTAAATCACTATAATGGATGTGTTAAATTTGTACAAGATCTACCTTACACATCAGATATCAGCTGATCAATCATCATTGAACAATATTTCAATAAATACGGAAGGTTCATTACAGTTTTATATCTGCAGTAGTGCAGTACTGATCTGTTATATTATCCCCGCCACTAAAATTTGTTCTTTGCACTTGCCATAATAATAAATATATCACATTAATAATTAAAAAAAAAACTATTCCATTACTACAGATACCTATCATAGGTATTTGTAAAATAATATTGGTTATTCGAAAACCAAAAAACAACAGTTTAATTATAACTAATAACCACCATTGGTTTAATTTTCATAATTTTGCTATACATATTAAAAAAAGAATTACTATCACTTATATACTATTTGTTATCATTATTAATATTTATTTTTTTGTAAGTTCATTTCAATATCCTATTTATTATAAATGGTGGCAAAATAACAAATCTGGGTGGTGGAGCAATAAAGATGTCACATGACAGGCAGAATGTAACAAACCAACACAATACTTCATTTAACTCTACTTAAAAGCAAAATGATTTGTTTTCATCTTAAGATAAATTGATTATTTTAATAAAAACAAAGTTGTTATTTTTCTATATGTACAAATTAGAGCAAGACTTGTATCTTAAGATTCACTATCTGTTTCATCAAAATATCCGGCTGTTTGTAGTAATTTATTTTGTACTTTTACTTTTAATTCTCTTTTGATTGTGTCTGGTAACATCCCTATAATGGTTATCAGTATTAAATAATTGGCTCATTCATTTATACACATATTTTGTTATTTTTTAAATATCATACTTCTAGCATCAGGGGCAATATCATTGAATAAATCGTTTTCAGTTATGGCTTGAACTTTTTGTCCCTTAGATAAACGGTCCTTTAGCTTTTCTTTGCATAACATGGTCACTTCATCCATCCAACCACATTCAACTAATCTTCGACATACTAATGACTTGAAGCTGTAATATAAAATCAATAAATAAAATTCATCTGTTTTTAACTATTTAGTATGACTGAAATATAGACTTAATATAAATTTAAAAACCTAAGAATATTTTTAATTGAAGCACTAAAATATTTATTTGATATTAACTATTAGTTGGTTTAATTCACACAAAGCATTTTTTCATTTTATTGACAGTTTAGTAAGGTGTAAAGAAAAAGATAATTTGTTATTTGTTTAATCATTGCTAACACTTAAACCTTGAATTGGATGGGTATAATTATATTTCTTCAACTACAAAATGTATTTTGTTTAGAGACATTGTGCACATAGGTATATAATGTTATTACTTATTATTAATGAAACAGTTATAATTACTTTTCTTCATCTACAAACGTCACTTCGTTTTGAGACATTGTGCAGATCGGTATTTTATATATTATTGTTGATGAATAACAAAAAGCATTCGTTTAAGTTTGATATCTGTGTGCATTAAATATGTTACATTCAAATAAATTAGTTAATACAGCTTGAAATGTATACTTATACATACTATATAATTATTCTTAATATAAATAGAATATAAATATTAGATAATAGTACTATTCAGATATTCTACATTTTAATATGCCTATGATCCACGAGTGCCGGACGTATTTGAAGTATTTTTAATTACAGGCCATAATATTAGGCCACGAGCTGTAAATAAAACGAATGTTACAACATTACGGTAGACTTACAAACTGACACGGCAAAAAAAAAAAATATAATATTTAAGTTTTTGAAGTTAGAATAATAAAGATACTATTATGTTGATGGCAGTCAAGGTTTATCTATAAACCTTGGATGGCAGTGACCAGTTTTATATGTTATCTATGAAACAGACTAAACAGTGGCAGTTATCTATGATTATGTCCAAAAAGATATTTGTTATGAGCACTGGATTATTCTGCCACCAGGTGCGCGTCGTTTGATAGGAGGGCACGTTATAATCATGAATTAAAATACATATCGTAATTCGTGGTTACTATCATGATTAGATGATTTAGGATGTTGATGACTTCTGCATTTTTTTCCTTTGATTCTATACAATGCTATCCTAACTAAAAATGTGTTTCAAGCTCCCGTTATGCAGAATATTTTTATTTTATTCTGCATTTTTTTTTTTCAACGTCATTTTTCAACATTTTTAAGTCATTTTTTATAGCTTTTGTACAAAGTTGAAAGTGGGGCATATAGCATATTTCTCAAATTTAAGATTAGAGCAAGTGTTAAACTGAAGTTTAATTTATTATTAATAATTGTATGTAATGCTTAAAATGTAAATGTGTACAATTGCTTATTAATATTATAATTTATAATGCATATATATAACCCATTAACCCATATCTCTAATAAAAATTAATATCTAATACTTTTTTTTTTTTTTTTTTATTAGAATATTTACAATCTATGCTACAATAAGGCATAATAAGCAAATTTGAGCACACAACGTACAATTTTATTTATAACATGAACACATGAGGAGGGAGGCCATCCAGTGATAGAACCCAACGTTATTTTAATTTTTTTAATTAATTTTTTTAATACTTAAATCCAAAAATCAGATTTTAAAAAACTTCATTAAAGAAAAAAGGGGGTGAGCATACCTGTTGGATCACCCTGTATATCTAAATTTATATGAATAAATTAAAATAATACTTTATAATAGATTGTTATAATTTAAATTTAAAATTATTAACTATTTTGATAGTTGTTAATTATTGTTGTATGTAATATGTATCCATAGACCCTATACTGAGTATAAGGTCTATGTATGTATCATATTTCATTAATTCAATGAACAAATCGTGATCACGGATTTCCTGGATAGTATAAAAAGTTGTGTTATAATATATATCTTTGGTTTTATACTTTTATCATACTGGCGAAGTACAATACAATTCATGGCGGATGCCAAAGTAGTTACAGAAGATACAGTCGATTATAAAGATTCTAAAATGTCAGCTGTTATACGAGACTACCTTGTTTTTTGACAACATCACAATCCTGTTATATAAGACTACCAATTATGTTCTTTCCTGTTCTACAAGACTACGGCTATTAATTATTTTTTCGACTTCCGCCCAAGACTACCTCCGTTATGGCGCTATCGCGACTATCACAATAGCTGAAATATATCCTCATCCTCGGTCTAGAATAGCAATTCACAATTATTATATCTATTATATTATATATTATTATCTATCATTACCCATATTATAACTTTTTGTAATATAATGGTGTTTCCTTTATATTATCTTTTTATAAAAGTAGACTTTCCGTCCGTCATTTCGCCATAGTCATCTCGTTTGTGTCCTCTAGATGTGGACATAATATGTGATGGTCTCATATTATGAGCTCTACCTCAGAAGTCAGAATGACTAGGAAGCAGTATAGCTACTTCAGGAACATGTCATTTTGCACACGCAAAGGCAGTGTAAGAATGGTCATGACCCAAAATTATACTTCGGGAAGGTGATATTTTGGAAGTGTAAAATAGCGGGTGTAAATTAAATGACTAATTTAATGCTGGGGTCTGGGGGACAGAGCATTGTGGAGTTGTAAGACAGTGGTGGCTGACTCTATGTGGTATACAATATTGCTCAACTTTGGCAGATAGCAAAGAAGAAGACATAGGAGATATTTTACCACATGACCCCCCGAATCTAGGAAAAAAAGAACAAGTAAAAAAGAACACGGAAAAAAAGAACAAAGGAAAAAAAGAACAACTTTTAGAAATTTTAAACAGTGTCCCACTAATCAATATTTTTTAAAACAAAAATTTTAATATAATGCATAGACACTTATGCTATATTTTTGGTATTATTTATAATAAAAAAAATACGAAACATAAATACAATAAAGCTTAGTATAATAATATAGAGTAAGATACATTTTTATTACTGGAAATGCCCTAAGTAATCCTAGTGCTCTTATAGTTGACTATAGGTGACCTTTTCATACTTTAGAGCTATAATTTGAGTGAACATATTTTAGTCTATTGACAGTCATTGAAGTGTTCAAATGTTTTCATTAAATTTTTATACTTCAATTTTTTAAATACATTTGAAATGGAAATTGTTATGAAAGCAGTATCAAAAATGAAATTAATGGCTATGGCCTATGACATCCTGTACAAATCCAGTCGAGATTTATGCTCGAGGTGTCTCCGAGTTCGATGAACGTTCTAAATCAAAAATTTATGTTCCGTATTTTTTTTTATAATAAATAATAATAATAATAATAATAATAAATAATACCAAAAATATAGCATAAGTGTCTATGCATTATATTAAAATTTTTTTTTAAAGAATATTGATTAGTGGGACACTGTTTAAAATTTTTAAAAATTGTTCTTTTTTTCCGTGTTCTTTTTTCCTTTGTTTTTTTTTCCGTGTTCTTTTTTACTTGTTCTTTTTTTCTTTGGTCTTTTTTACCGATTACCTGACCCCCCCCCCCCTTGAAAAATGTGGCCTATGATTGTTTGATTGTGGCCTGGTATTGACTTTAAATGACCTGGGAAAATGTTTGCACTAACATTAAAAATGACCAACTTATTCTCTGTCGGCTCAAGTGTAAACGTCCCAATGATGTTCTCAATTAACAACAAGTTTTGAAAAATTAAAAATATTATTGTACCCATATAATATATTATTATTCATATTATATTCTAATTTTATGTATTATTTATTAATTTGTTAAAAAATGTAAAATTCAAACAATTGTTAAATTGCTAAAAAAAAAAATACTGTAATCAATAAGTTAGATGGGGAAATTCCGGGTTGCATGGATTGGTGACCATGATTGGTCCATTTGAACCATTAAATCAATAAAATTGTTCATGTAACGGGTTGCAACTCGGCATTGTAAGGAAAAGTCTAAAAATTAAAATTAAAAAAGTACAATATAATATAGGTATTAATTAAGTCAGGTTTTCACTACATCGTGTCGTGACGTGTCGTGTCAAATAATTTACTCCGATGAACTAAACGAAAAACAAGCCACCATGGCTAACCAACCAATGAAGACACTTTGGCTTAAATTTGCAATTTATTTTTTATTTTTTTTAAATTAAATATTAACTATTTTTGAATCATATAATTTAATTTTTCGATTTATTTCAGCACAAAAAGATAAACCAACTATATTGATAGGTAATTCAAATTGTTTTTTTTTGCAGATCTGCACAATGGGACAATTTTTAACCCACCTTCAACGATTGAAGTGGTGGAAGATACGGTGGGATGGCATCCCTCCACTTTTTATAATTCACATTTCCCCCCCCCATTTATTTTGCATGACTGTTTTAGCGATATGTGAGAACTAAATAAATTATGAAAGGCATCTCTCCACTTATTTTGAACCACCTTAACTGACAACCACTAACCACCTTTTTTTTTATAAATAATAAATCTATTTTTTTATTTTTAAATTTTTCGAACATTAAGTTATAACTTTAAAGTAATGAACGGCGTTTAGATGTAAAAAAGGTTGAAAAAAATAAAAATCAAAGTTAGTGGGCAACACCGGTTTTTTCGTACCTAACGGTTAATAAAAGGTCTGTCTTTATAATTTATATTATCCGTGGAGAATAATCTAATACCAAAGTTAAGGTTATTCAGCCATACCTACACGTCTTCAGCAGCAGCTGTTGCTGGCCTGATGACATGAACTTATTTTTCACAGTGATAATGACTTTTGTTATCAGTTTTTTCCGGAACCTGATAATCATAATAATATACTATAGTTACTTAATAGTCAATAGTCTATGGTCTATAATTTATGCAGTATGTCTGAAAATTGAAATACAGAAAGTAAAAAACAAGAAGTAAAAAAAATAATCTGTATTTACTATTCACTATTGTACATACACTATTTTGTAATTTGTTTTAATTAATAATTGTTTTATTTAGTTATTTATTCATTCAGTCTGTTATTAATTTAATTTAATTATTGTCACGGTGACAATCCATGCTGTGTGTTGAGTGGTGATCAAAGGTGTTGATTATTGAACTTGTATTTCCGAACACTGCTAAAACAATTATTTTCAAATGGAAGACATGGGATTAAATCTAAAGCAAAATAATACCATTCCACCAAACATGACTTCCAAAGTATCTGATTTTATAACTGCTGAACAAGGCACTTCTTTGGGACCTTCGATTAGTTCTAATGATATTCAGTTAGATAGTGAACACAATAATGAAGATGTTCCTTCTCAATCAGTGAATGAAGGCGAACCAAAGGAACAAACTTACCAAGATATTTTAGGTTCTGGGGATTTATTGAAAAAAATCATTAAGCAAGGAGCTCTTGACGAACGACCAATGAAAGGTGAACAAATTGTGATAAATTTAGTTGGTCGTCTAGAAGATAATGATGATATATTTGAAAAAGAAGACAATTTTGAAATCACTCTTGGTGATTGTGAGGTAATATAATGTTTAAAATTTTACATTCAATATTTTTAAACTATGGTCTGTGTTTTATTTAGGTAATTCAAGGTGTTGATTTAGCTTTAAGCTTAATGAATGTAGGTGAAATAGCTGAGTTGAAAATAGCATCACGATTTGGTTATGGTGAAAAGGGATTGAGTCCAAAGGTTCTGGGTGGAGCTAGATTAGTTTATATTGTAGAACTAGTATCTGTAAAGCCAGAAATACTTCCAGATGACCTTACTCCAATTGAAAGGCTTAACATTGGGTTCGTACATTTGTGTCTAATTATTATTGAATGTGTATTTAGGTTTTGATTGATCATATATTAATAATTTACATGAACTAGAAATATTACATTTTACAATATTTTGTTTCGAAATCCAGATTTATTTTATACTTCAAAATTTTAATTCATTTTTCCCATTAAATCTCCTTATTTTAAATGATTCACTAACTTTTATTGGTAAAACTACATTGATGTACCAAAATAAGTAAATACCTAATTAGAAAAATAAAAATTGTTAATGTAACTATTAGATTAGATTATGATGACCTCTCATACATTTAGAAAATAACTATGGTACAATTTAACTATGTGACCCTTAAACTTTAAAGGCTTAAAGTACCAATATTAAGATAAATTAATACCGTTTGAAATTGTCCTAAAATTTAATATTTTAAAAAATATTGATTTTTAATTATTTGTTAAAATAAAATATAACTAAAAAAAATGCACAGACATGTGATTTGTTACATATTTTATTGTATTCATAAAAATGGCAAGAGTTTTAAAATAACTTATCAAATTTTAAAATAGTTGTAATATATGGTGCAATGGTGGAGTTAGGTTAGTTTAATTATATAATTTTATGAATAAAGATCTATAGTAGGTTCTAGATTAACATCAGTGAAATCACTGTTGTGAAGGATAGAAACTGTGACTACCATCTATCTATATTGTTTTCATTTAAAGTAATTTTTAAGTTTATTATGTTTTGTTATAGGCTCAAAAAAAAAGATAAAGGAAACTGGTGGTATGCACGTAATGAAAACACTATGGCTTTACATGTGTATCGCAAAGCTCTTCAATATTTTGGAGGACCAGGAGATATAGTATGATAATATATTAATTTTATTTTCTTAGAAATAATTATAAAATTAGCTGAATCGCAATATTTCAATCATATAAATAAATAAATAAAAAAAAAAAAAAAAAATTTAACAAATTTAATCATAATATTCATAGTTTAAGTATCCATGTTTTTTAAAACTGAAGATATTAAAAAAATTCTTTGGTAATCTCTAAGATTACTCTTATAAATGTAATATATTCTTCAGGATTATCACTAAAATTAATATCAATTTGGTTTTCCATTTTTATAAATTCAATTACTATTTATATCATGAATAGGTACAATAATATACTTTAATTTGAATGTTTACTTTTTACTTATTTATTTATAAGTTATTGCTATTTTACTAAGATTTTATAAATTAAAAATGAAATTATCTCTTTGTACTAAACTTCATAGTGCACCCTTAGTTGAGGTAAGGTTTATGTAAGGTAAAGTAGGAAGTATCCGAGATAAATGTTTGGAAGTATTTTCAGACCATGCAGCAATTCCTACCTAGCATAATCATTGGAGTTTGAGTGAGAAGAATCAAATGATTGTCCTGTGTCATGCATGAAAAATCAAGATTTAATATTAAGAACAAAGATTGAGATAATAAAATAAATATCCTATTAAAACCAAAGTACTTATATGTGGTAGGAAAGATGAAACAAATAATAGATTTAGTAGAGGAAGGAAAAAATCTAGTGAATGATTGGATAGGGCATTTACCATGGCACGTAGCATTATTAAAACTAATTATAGAAGGGAAGAATCATAGAAACTGCAATACATTCAATAATTAATTAAGGGCCAAAGATGTGACTAATAATACATACAAATAAAAAGCTTAAAAGGAAAGTAAAAAATAGAAAAGAGTGAAAAAGGCTGCAAACTTATCTATGGATTAAAACTACTGAGAGAGAAATAAGAAAGTCTGAATGAAAAATGACCACTAATTAACCTATGTGCTCCCACCCCCATCCACCCCCCATAAAATGCATAATATAATTTCAACATAAACATAATTCTACGCATTTAAATACTATGTTTAATTTATTTGATTTTCATTAAATTCATAAATACATAAAAGATAATTTAAAAAAAAAATATATTTTATGAATTCAATTTGTTAATGGAATGAAAATGACCTGCATGATACTATTTTTTATTCTTTATTATTTACGGTTGTTAATTGTATATGTTATATAATTATGTGCTTACACATATGAATCAAGAATCATTGTTCTTTATTTTTTTTAGATTGGTTCAGATTCAGAACAAAAAGACATTCTAAGTGAACGTGTCAAGACATTGAACAACATGGCAGCTGTCCACATGTCTATGAACAGTTTAGATTTAGCTTTAAGTACACTGGATAGTGTACTCGCTGTTGAACCTAATAATGAAAAAGCGATTATGCGCAAGGGTAAAGTACTAGCCTTAAAAGGACAAAATATGGCAGCTGCCCGTGAGCTTGAAAAAGCATTGCAAATAAATCCAAATAACAAAACTGTTCAAAGCATTCTTAGCAATGTTAAAGCAGCATTAGTCAAAGAGAGAGTACAAGAAAGAGAATTGTATAAAAAAATGTTGGGTCAAAAAGATAATAATGAAAAATCAGCAAAAGACGACAAAAATACGGTATAATGTTACATTATTTATAAACTTAATTTTTCAATAAGTTACCCATTATAATATCTATAAGTAATAAATATCTTTAGGAAAAATAATCGTTGGTGAGTGAAGAAATTTTGGTGGACTGTAGGGTAGTTATATAAAAATATACTTGTTACTTAATATTCAAGTCTTCTCTCAACAACCAATTTCCCACACTTTTTCTTTTTTGAAGCCAGGCAAAATAATTTGCGTTCATGGTAGTCAATAGTCTATTCAAAGATCACTCCTTTACATTTTAGTATCAGTAACTTCATAAACTAATTTGATTTTCTGGAAAAAATATATTTTTATTACCATGTTTAGTATATTGTTATTAGATGTAGACATTAGTTAACTAAATTAAATTTGTGTCTTGTTTTAGAGCACAACATTTATAATCAGTGGGCTTGTTGCTGGATTAGCAGTAATTTGTGGATACTGTTACCTTAACAACAACTTTCCTTTCAGCAAATTTAGCACTTTATAGTTTTTTTTTATGTTTTTAAGTATATTCATTATTTCTTACATTCAACAATTAAGACATTCTATACTGTTCATTGTGATTCTATTTGACTACAAATATCTTCAAATTTAACTTAAAACAATATTATTTAAGATAAAACTTAGTTGCCAGCTATACTATGTTATAAAGTATATTGTTTTTATGCATTTTTATTTTAAATTTTTCCTGTGTTTATACATATTAGTTTACTATATTATTTTGGTACTTTTTTGGTATGGTTGTTTTTGTATATATTTATTAAATAGGTAATTAAAATATGATTTACTGTATTGTGTAATTTATTAAAAAAAAAAAATGTCTACATCTGTACAGGGTGGAAAAAAGATTATCTTTGATTATGTTTGTACTCAGTATACTTGTTTAATGAAGACATTTTTTTTTTACTCAAAATGAACAGTTTTTTTATTTTAACTGAACATATTTTTATCGCTAAGTAGGTACCTCAAAGTCAAGTGTTTAACTGATTATAAGATATTAAAATTATTGATATAGGGAGTTATTTTTTTTTTTTCGATTCTGAGTGCACTGATGAATGTATTGATTTTACAATGTGTTTTTTGTTGTGTGTGTCGGTGTACACAATAAGTAATTGAAATAATGCTTTAATTTTCGACTTCAGCATATTATCTGATGGGAGGATAAGTGAAACTAGTGGGTGCATTCAGAAGGTAAAAATTAAAAATTCCAAAAGCGCCGGGGAAAACAGATTTTTACAAAATAAATTATGATTTTTGGTGTTATTCTAAAAAAAAGGTCATTAGATACACGAAACTATCAGTGAATGTTCACATAACAAATTTTCTTTGTCTCCTATAACCCGGATTTGAAACTTGTCGAGCTATTTATAGGCCAAAGAATTATTATTTAATGTCTATAAAAAAATGTTTCCTCGGTCAAACATGAAAATGTAATACAAGTTGTTACTTGTAATTAGAGGAAAAAAAAAAAAAAAAAACTTGAGCTAAAATTCACAATAAATTTTGTAGTGTCTGAAGTCAAAGTCATGTAAAGTCACAAATTATTTTGATTTAAAAAAATCATAAAAACTCCTATGTTCCTATGTACATCAAAGATATAAAATACATGTACATTATCCTTATCCCTTAAGTTTTCCTATATTTAACAAAAAAAAAAATGTACTTGAAAGTTGAAAGTAAAATTAATTTTTACAAACATTTGAAGTTAGACATTTGGTATTCAGAGACATCATGGCGTCTGGTATACTGGTGTGTCCATGTATTTAACAAATGAAAGGAAAATACGTCAACAGTAGAGTTTTTTGGATGCAGCGGCCACCGGGGCCTCAAAAGTATGTCGAAGTTGGGGGGGGCTCTTTTCCCAGGAACTTTTCTATTTTAATTCATGTTTATGTACGACTGAAGAAAAAACTGATTTTATAAGGAGTTTAATGTTCTGTCTATAATAGTTCAAATAAAATAAATGTTACATTAAAATGTTAATACAAATTGTTGTACCTATTTGACAAAGTCGAGAGTAGCCCCCGGACCACCAAGTTTCTCGCTACGCCATTGGGCGTCAAAATCTAAAATTAAAATAGTTAAATTAAGAATTTTTATACAAAAATATTTATTTTAACATCTGCTTGGTATGCCTATTGGCTATTATTATATAAAGGATAATAAATAATTTTGTGAATTGTAATGTTCCAATCAGTGGTTTTAATTTTGTACTATTAATAATAGTTCATAATTCATAAAAAAATATTATTTTAGGTACCTATAGGTTTTTATTAAAATTTGGAGGACATCTATTGATTTTTTTATAGTACGCTATTTATAACTAAATGTGAAAAAAAGTAATTGTAACTAAGAATGTTTTGGAGGGGTATTAAAATTGTTTACCTATTAAAGGGGTGGCAAATTTTTAGCGCTTATAGCCGCAAAAAAATTCATCTCTGCGGCCGTAAGTTAAAAATTCTCATAGAACGATTTTCTTATTTTGTCTTTAATCTAGATCTAGAATCTAGAACTGTAGGTATTTGGAAATAATATGTTCATCAAATGTTTATTTTATTTTTATAATTTCCTATGCACGAAATAAATTTGCAAAATAATTAGACTCGCTTTGAGTTATTTATAGACATTATCAATTTTCAATTTATTTATTTTTCATTATATACATGGTAATACAATTTGAGAGGGCTGTCTTATACCAACTACTTACTTAAAGTATTATCTTATACTTACTGGCTATGCTAATATTATTAGGGAACGGATTTAAATACAATATGCATTATTTTTTGGGAAATCCTATGGCACTAAACTACAGGAAATGCTTTTCAACTTTGAAGTACAAAATCCGTTTCATACATCTGATATATTATGATTGAAAACTTAATTTTTATTTTGCACTTTAAGCTTTTGTTCTGTGCTTTTAGCTATCTTTTATCTAAAATACAAGTAAACAGCAGTTGCAGTATGCATCACGATCACGATTTAAGATAGTATCTTATTTTAGATACTATCTTAAATCGTGGCCTGCACTCTGCAGTACAAACCATGAACTTTGATAAACGAAATAAATTATTTTATATATCTGTGGTTGTGTCACAGATTATATTAAATATTATATTATAATAAATTATTATATTATAATTAATTATTATATTATTATTATATAATCTGTGGTTGTGTAACAAAATTAATTGATAACAATTATCAGTCCACCTTGTGGCTGCCTTGCAGTTGTACGAGTTACCGTGGTTTCTTATCATAGGGAATACTGCCACAGCCTATCTACCAGTGACCAGTGACGTGTTCTTCCTTTTCGGAAAGTGTTTCTTCAGAAAAATAGTTTCTACCTTTTTTTTAAAATAAATTAATACTGTACTACTGCCTATAATTTACAAAATATAAAATCTAATGAAAAAGTAAAAGAAAATCAGCTCATTGACGTGTCGTTAAGGTAAATTATAGATGTAGTATAAAATAAAATATAGTATTACTATTTTTACTTTTTATCAAACGTTTCTTTAAAATGAACTCATGATTATTTGTTTTTAAATTAATAAGGCATTTTTTTAGTGTTAATTAATATCAATACGTGTGTAGAACCCTTTTTATACTGTATTCAAATTGTATTTAATATTATATGAATACATTTTTCAATTAGTTCATTTATTTCCATAATTTAAAGGTGAATTCTAATTATTTTAAAAATAAACTGCCCTGATCTTATAACATATTTAAGGTGAACTTTCTTGATAGTATTATTTAAAATAATCTAAAAGTATTATCAATTTGTAGTTCATAAAAGACGTTGTTTCAGACATTTTTATATGAGGAATATGAGCCTATGTAACTTAGAAGTAAAAATGACTGATCGTTATTTTATCCAAAACTACAAATTTATTTTAATGAATTAGTAGTAGAAATAAAATTACTTTTAATAATGTAATCACATCAAGCAAAACTCATCGTAATTAGCCTATAATATAAATTCAAAGCTTGCAATATTTTAAGTGTAAATATACATAGATAATAAACAACAATGTTTTTCTAATTTTTCATATACCTTATACTGGATAATATAACGGCTCAAACTAAACATTTATTTATTAAATATAAATTATTATTTTATAAAAGCTTAAAAGATATTTCAAAGATAATGAAGGTTTTCTGCCCTCAGTGGCATCACTCGCATAAATGCGTTACATACTAACCTAACATATAACTTTCATTATATATTTATATATATATTTATATATATATTTATTACTTACAGCGATATTAACAATTGCTAAATTTTAGTAAACATGTCAACTTACGAAGAATTTATTGAGCAAAATGAAGAGCGTGATGGTGTCCGCTTGTCGTGGAATGTTTGGCCAGCTAGTAGATTAGAAGCAACCCGTCTTGTTGTACCTGTAGGTTGTCTTTACCAGCCATTGAAAGAAAGACCGGGTCAGTATAGAATTTATTACAAAAATGATCAATTTATTTCTAACCTTTTTATTTATGGAAGTATAGATTTACCTCCAATACAGTATGATCCTGTACTATGTACACGTAATACTTGTCGAGCAATTCTAAATCCTTTATGTCAGGTGGATTATAGAGGAAAAATGTGGATATGTAATTTTTGTTTTCAATGTAATTCTGTAAGTATGACTACTATTGTCCTAATTATTATTTAAATTTATAATAATTATATGTTTAAATTTATTTAGTTTCCTCCTCAATATGGAGCAATTTCAGATCAACACCAACCAGCTGAACTTATTCCTGCATTTTCTACCATTGAATACTCAATAACGGTAATGTTTTGATATTTATTGTTGTGTGATAGGTACAGTTTTAGGCTTACAATATTTTTTATTAAATTGTATAATTGATCTAGAGAGCTAAAACCATGCCACCGATATTTTTGTTTGTTGTGGATACTTGTATGGATGATGAAGAACTTGGTGCTCTTAAAGACTCTTTACAAATGTCTCTTAGTTTATTACCACCAAATGCTCTTGTTGGCTTAATTACATTTGGAAATGTTGTTCAGGTATGATATAAAATTATAGTATTTAGCTGTAAAATATATTGAATGAATCTAATGTTTGTGTCTATGAATAATAAATATTTACATACCATTTTAGGTCCACGAATTGGGTTGTGAAGGTATTTCCAAGTCATATGTGTTTAGAGGCACAAAAGACTTACCACCGAAACAAATTCAGGATATATTAGGAATCGGAAAATATGCTGCTCCAACTGCTCAAGCTGGTGTGCCTCAACAGCAAGCACAACAACAGCAACAAGTTAATGTACCAGCAAACAGGTATTTCTTAAATAAAATAAATATTTATACTTGTTCTGATGTAAATATTTTCATAGATTTATACAGCCGGTGCAAAATTGTGATGTGAATATGTCAGACTTATTAAATGAGCTTTTAAAAGATCCGTGGCCTGTTTCACAAGGAATGAGACCTTTAAGGAGCACAGGGATGGCATTATCAATTGCTGTTAGCTTATTGGAGGTAATGACCAATTACTTTAATTTAATTACAATATTTTGAAATATGTAAAGTAATTTTTATAGTCTACGTATCCACAAACTGGTGCACGTATAATGCTGTTTGTTGGTGGAGCATGTTCCCAAGGTCCAGGTCATGTAGTTAATGAAAAGTTATCCGATACAATTCGTTCCCATGACCAAATAATGAAAGATAATGCTCCATATATGAAAAAAGCAACTAAACATTACGATACCTTAGCAGTTCGTGCTGCAACCAATGGACATACAATTGATATATATGCGTGTGCTTTAGATCAAACTGGATTGATGGAAATGAAGCAATGTTGTAATACAACTGGGTTTGTTATTGTTATGAAATATTTTTATAAAAAAATATACATTACTATCAATATTTTAATTTTAGTGGCCATATGGTAATGGGTGATTCATTCAATTCATCTTTATTCAAGCAAACATTTCAAAGGGTATTGGCTCGAGATCATGAAAACAATTTAAAAATGGCATTCAATGCTACCTTGGAAGTAAAAACATCTAGAGAATTGAAAAGTAAAGTGTCTTTGTATATTATGTCCCTATTACAATTCAATACTGAAATTATTTTTTTTATTTAGTTATGGGTGCAATAGGACCATGCGTATCATTAAGTATCAAAAACCCATGTGTATCTGACTGTGACTTAGGTTTAGGTGGTACATGTCAATGGAAAATGTGTAGCTTGATGCCTAACACTACATGTGCATTTTTCTTCGAAATTGTCAACCAAGTAAATAATTGTGAAACCCTTTTATGTACACAAATATACAATTTAAATATTTATATGTTATCTTATTTTTAGCATGGATCACCTATACCGCAGGGTGGACGTGGTTGCATTCAGTTTATTACTCAGTATCAACATTCCAGTGGCTATAAACGAATTAGAGTCACCACATTAGCTAGGAAGTATGTAATTGTTTGTACATAAAGCTAATTTTGTTTTATACTTATGGGTTATGTTTTTTAGTTGGGCAGACCCTGTTCAGAATATGATGCATGTTAGTGCTGCATTTGATCAAGAAGCATCTGCCGTTTTAATGGCTCGTATGGTAGTGAACCGTGCTGAAACTGAGGATAGTCCAGATGTGATGCGTTGGGCTGATCGTACGCTTATACGCTTGGTAACAAATAAATATTTTTTTTTATAAATACCAACAATAATTTTATTGTTGTTAATTTGAAAACAGTGTCAAAAATTTGGTGATTATCAAAAAGATGATCCAAATAGTTTCCGATTGCCAGAAAACTTCAGTTTATATCCACAGTTCATGTATCATTTAAGAAGGTCTCAATTTCTACAAGTTTTTAATAATAGTCCTGATGAAACATCATATTATAGGTAAGTTTTAATTTAAAAAGAAACTACTTTTAAAAAACCTGTCTATAAGTAATAATTGTATGTTTCTGTTTTAGGCACATGTTGATGCGTGAAGATGTTACCCAAAGTTTAATCATGATACAGCCAATTCTGTATAGCTATAGTTTTAATGGTAGGCCAGAACCTGTACTTTTGGATACCAGTAGTATTCAACCTGATAAAATATTATTGATGGACACATTTTTCCATATTTTGATATTCCATGGAGAGGTGAGTAAACAAATATACACTTTTTTTTCAATTTTCAATTAAAATAATTGATTTTTTAGACTATTGCTCAATGGAGAGCAATGGATTATCAAAATAGACCAGAGTATAGTAACTTCAAGCAGTTGCTTCAAGCCCCCGTTGATGATGCTCAGGAAATTCTCAAAACTCGATTCCCAATGCCTCGGTATATTGACACAGAACAAGGTGGTAGTCAGGTAAGTTATTTGAATAATTTTAATATCACAAATATTTTGATATTGATCAATACATTTTTTCAGGCAAGATTTTTACTATGCAAAGTAAACCCATCTCAAACACATAATAATATGTATGCTTATGGAGGTGTAAGTATTGAATTAATTTTTATAATTTTATATTATAGATGTGAAGTCAATTTTTAATTTCAGGATGGTGGAGCACCAGTTTTGACAGATGATGTAAGCTTGCAACTGTTTATGGAGCATTTGAAAAAGCTAGCTGTCTCATCCAATGCATAGAAAGTATTTTTATTCTAATGTCTTGTTATTTAATTTTTTTATTATTATTTATATATTCAGTACTTGAAAATTAGATAATCTATCAAAATGTTTTGTACTCATACATAATTCTTTGTGTTGAAATCATTTGTTTTTTCTCTGTTGGAGAAATAAATCGAAGACAAATTTGTAAATTATAAAATTTATATATATTAAAATATTATATTATATTCAACATTTTTTTGCATAAATCTACTCTATTAGTAATAAACGAATACAAATTAATTAAAATATTGGTCTTTGGATTAAAATATTAAATTCTCTCTGAATATTAAAACTAATGCTGTGTACCTAGAACAATTTATAAAATTAAAAGAATATAATATGAGCGGAATGATCTGTTGATAATAGGCATGTTCGATTAGTTTAAAAATCTAATTGACATTTTATTTTCAATATCAGACTTTTCAAATGTTTTACTGAATTCATCAAATGAAATTAAACCGTCTCCATCAATGTCTGCCTCAGAAATTGTTTTATCCGCAATAATAGACAACTGTTCTTCACTAAAAATAAGATTAAAATTTTAGAATCTGAAATAAAAACATACAAATCATTAAGATATTTACCTGATGTTGGCACCAACCATCATATGTAAAATAATCAAGAGCTCATCCTTTGATATCAATCCATCGTTGTCAACATCATACATATCAAAGGCAACTAAAATTATATTGATGATATATTAATAAATATTCTGCCCTACGATACACAAGTTTATTGTTATTATTAATGATTACATTTTACTTTCTCCATTCTATTGTTTTGTTTGTTTGGTTTATTTGGTCGAATTGGTCTGAATTTAGATAGCCCTCTCATGAATTGTAAGAAATTAATACGATCACAATTATTCCCGAAGTCTGCGTGGAATAAATCAACAATTCTTTCCCCTAAAGGATTTATCGCCAACTCTGGAATACGCAGTAAATCTTCCCTACTGAGTGTCCCCAAATCACCTCTATCCAAACTGGTAAATCTACTGTAGAGACGTTCAATTTGATTTGCGGTGACTATAAAATAATTTTATTAAAATTAGTTTCAAGCTTCGAACAAATTGTAAATCCAAATATTTTGTAGACTTGATGTTTGACATATTCAATGTATTAAAAAAAAAAATTTTAAATCTAATGGTAACAATTGTTATAAATTACAATAATCAAATTATACTTTTTTCACTAGAATTTGTGTGCCATTAACCAATATTTCTATTATCACAAACAAAATAAAAACCAGTTGGTCAATGTCATCAATGCTAGCTTTTAATTTTAACATCATATTAATAGGAATAAATATAAATGATTTTAAAGAATAACACTAAGCTTAAATTCAATGAAACTTTAATCGATTTCGACATAGATCTAAAAAAAACTTAAAATTTAAAAAGAACATGTATACTAAATTCAGTAAAATGTACATCTGTCCACTTAATACTTACATCCAGTTTCATTTCTAATTTGAGCAATTTCTTCTTTACGCAAAAGCAACGATGATCGGTTACCCATTTTCAAAATATCAACGTTCAAAATGAATATGAATTGTAAATTATCGAGTAAATAAAATTTCTGTGTAATTCATATCCTTGACCTTAAAATAACACCAAGCTTAATGTAAAACATAATTCAAAACCATTATAATCAAATTCATATCTGTATATAATATGCTACTAGTTGCAGTGTATGGTACTTTGATCTTAACGCTTAACTACAACTTTAAAGTACAACTCCAATATTATGATTTATTTTATCTTAATTATCACCTATAATGGGTTACGTAAATAATACATTCTATTTGTCTATGGTTACCCAAGTCGTGGTTACATACATGAAGATTAGTGATAAGGACACCAAACTCGTATTTATTATTATTTGCATAAATATTAGACTTTAGACTTCTATGCATATTTGTAACCACAATTTACTTCACAAGAATATGTTGTAGGCCTGTAGGGGTGCCTGAAATTTTTTGAAAAATAAATATTTTTAGAATCACGAAGAATTAATAGATCACGGACTAAGATATATCTTAGTCCGTGTAACAGACTGATCTTCGTTATCTATATTCTTATCAAAACTAAAGAACCGCATAATTCAGTGATAATAATTTGATAAGAGTATATGACATATTTTCGATTTCAGTTAACTGTAGCTGAAGAGTATTATAGATAACTGATAAGTATTGTGTATAATTAGTCAATATTTAATAAATTCTTCACACTTAAATTTATTGATATTATTAATGTAAAATAGCTTACTCTTTAAGATGACTGATGATAGTACAATTGATGTCAAAAATAACTTTAATCATCTGATTACAGAAGAAAAGAACAAACACACCGTGTATTGCACAAAATGCCCATCCAAGATTTTGTCATCTACAATGGGAAAGCATTTAAGAATCGAAGTAATTTTTTATGACGTAAATTTACTATTAGTAAATTTTCTAATAATTTTTATTCTGTAGTTCAATCTTCCACACATGTCTCAGAAAAAAAACTGCGAGGCTGTTGAATGTGAACTGTTGGCAGATTACTGGATGGTTCCAGATATGTATATGTTTGATAATATTGGATTCTCGAAGACTGTTGAATCTGGAATTAAATATCTTATATGTGCTGACTGTGAAATTGGACCAATTGGATGGTATGACGATAACACTAAGCAATCTTATGTAGCACTGTCCAGAGTTAAACATGCTGAAGATTTGTGATATTTAATAGAATTGTAAATACTTAAAACATTCTAATTTTATTATGATATATTTATAGATTAACAGTAATAACTGAAATATTAAAAATATATATTTTTAAGTTAATTATATTATTTATAATACATTTTTACTATTTATTTATTAACAGCATTCATGTAATTTATTCCAACTTATACTACATTTTTTTTTTGTGTGTGCAGTGACAATTGACCAACATTCTAAGTCAATTAGTAACAGATTGAACTTATGCATACAATATTATCTACAAATCATACTGGTCATCTGCATATTATAATATAATTTTTTGATTATCTCTATAATTTTAAACCAATTATTTTGTACTCATAGTAACCAATAACTCATCTTGATAGCTACCTTTAATTTGGAATTAAATGGATTATAATAAGCGGTTGGCCATTGTAGTACAATATATTAAATGTTGTTTAGGTAAAAAAGATTAAGAATATTGTATATTGGATACAGATCTAAATATTGGGTACACACCTGTTTATGAGTATTTTTTATTTTCATACAGGTCTAAGATAAAAACCTTAGATAATCAAATAAAAATGTTAAAAATTATATTGAGAAGCATGATTTCAAGTGTACTCTTAGTTAGTATTGTTTTTTTAAATATTGTGATAGTAATTTTAAATCACTTAATCATAACACACCAATAGCATTAGGCAAAATGTGTAAGGCAGGATAAGTGCTATCTTGTGCCTGTATAACAAGTATTCTACAGTTAATTCAGTTATAAAATGTTTGACCCATTAAAAGATTTAGAATACATTTATTAAAATAACCATAATACTTAGATGGGCGGACTTCGGTATTCTACAACAATAAATTCTGCAAACCCATTTACACCAGCCACATATTTTTTTTCATGGATACCAATTTTTCGGATAGGAAAATATACTAAATACCTTATTACGGTTTTAACATATACCCAAAATGTTGTTATTCTATGTTTACAAACAAAACAAAACATATATTACAATTAATGTTTTTATAAGATATAAATAATTCCAAAGAGTCACTACCTACTATAATTTAAAAATAGAGGAAATTGTAAACTTAGTAATAAGCATATTTTTTAGACATTGGATCATATTACCCTTATAATTTATTGATAGATTTGATCATAAATTTATAGTATTACTTATTCTTACTGATTTAAAACTGTTTGGATTTTAAAATATATATATCTGGCCAGTCAAGTTCTTATTTTTAGGTTGCTTGTTACAAAAATTTAAATGAATACAAAATAACATCTATTTTAAACCTTATAATTTTACACAAATATACACTATTGGAGTAAATGGAAATAACAGTTGAGAAATTTTTTTTATACTTCCATTAACCATCTTAATATGTTGTTAGTTTTATATTGTCATTCCTTTGCAATGCACTGAAAAAAAAGTATGATAATTAGCTAAATTTAAAAATATTAAAATTGACTTACCAATAAATTCTGAAACTGGATCATTTTCTCCATCACATCGCATTGTACCAGTTATTTCTTCATTTTCAACAATTGGTAAAAATAAATCAACAAATTCAACTGAATAAGGTGGAGAAACTGCTTCCAAAGCCTAATAAAAAAAATTAAAAAATAAAATATACATTTACACATTGTTTAAATAATTATTTACTTCTGTAACAAAATAACGTATTAAAGATATATCAGTATCTCCTCTATGCCAGCATTGTTCAATATATTTTATAACAGGAACAACACAACCACAACATAGCAAATTCACCATACGGTCGAGCAGCATCTTTTTCATCTCCAACTAAAACAACAATTATGAATGATTTTCTTGTAATTTTAATTAATACTCATTTAATAATAAATTAGAATATAAAAAATTAATGAGCTATTCTATAAAATTAAAAAAAAATGAAACTAATAATTTATTCCGTAACTCACGTGTACTAGAATTTCTAGTTCATCCTGTTTAGATTCAAAAAGAGACACAAATAATTTTAATATGATATTATGCAGCTGTGGATGACATGTAACAACTTCATCTAAGAGTGCTAAATGTGTTGGTGTATGTTCAGTACATAACTTAAAGAAACTTGGTTCCGTCACAGTACTCTCAACCCAACAAATTAAACCAACAGCAACAGCAGGATATCTAAATAGAAACAATAGAAATTCTTACAATTCTGAAATCTCAAGAAAACAGTTGGTTTGTATGTTACATGTTCAATAAAATAACATGCCAATTTTATGCATGTTGAGCTCCATATCTCTGACCATTAACATTTACATATGAGACATAAGGTCAATATAGAAACGAAAATTAGGGGACGATATGAGAAATAGGAGTAACTGATTATTAATAAAAAAAAATTATGATTATGAATTTGCGTTAACCTCCCATTCCCCCGGAAAAAATTAGTAAAGTGCATGTCTTAACTAATTTAAAGTTTATTGTACTTACCATAGTGTAATAATTTATTCTGAAATAAATACCTGATGCAATGATAAATAGTTGCTACTTCAGCAATTAATTCTGTTGAACTTTTATTCAAATTACATATGCTATGAACTTTATCAACAGCTTGTATCGTGGATTTTAAATCGTCCTTATTAATAACTTTCCTTTTTTTACCAGATGTAACTTCATACACACTAGCAGAATAAGCATAAAGATATATGTATTTAGGTTTATATTCTGGATTTAATTTCATTCCTGGCTTAAATAGAGCCTGAACTAATAATTCTGAAAAAAAAAATACTAGTTGATAAAAATAAATAAATAAATTTAGTAATATATTTAAAACTAAACTAACCAAGAAATTGTGGAATTCTCAGTAAGCTGACAGGAGGAGAATCGGCTGATGAATAGTGTTTATGTAATACATTTATATCAGCAGGATTTAAGGCATTTCTCGATAACATAGAACTTAATGCTGCACATGGCTGGTCATACGGGGCAGCACCATTTAATGCCATAGTAATGGGAGTCACATCATTTCTTTATAAAATCAAATTTAGAAACAAATTTTAATTTAATAATCTTGAAACTAAAATATACCTCTCTTGAGCACAGCGAGTTATTTCTTGAGAAAATCTCTTCATGTTAACTCCTCCATTAGTTTCTTTAGCTAAAACTTGAAGAGCAACTAATGTAAAAACATATGTATGTTGGCTATGACATACCATTTTCTGGAGAAAAAAATATATATTATTTACAAAATCTAGTAAACACCCTAATTATTATAAACTGCAAACTTAAGTGCCTAAATAATTTGTCAAACCGTATAGACTACTATATTTTAAAATGCATAGTAATTACTAATTGATATTCTAAAAATATTTTCCTTATACTTATACTGATACTTTTATATACTAAGTTTTGATTTAAATTGACAAAAAAAATATCTAAATATGTATAAATAGTCTATCTAGCCTGTAAACAGTCTAACACAATCTCTGCTTATGTTTTTAGTGAAAAAAGTATTACTTATAACAATATGGACAGGACAAGATTAAGGTTTTTCCCGCCCATAGGCTTAAATAAATGTACCGCCTAATTTACATAGGTATTGATATTTTACTAATATCTCAACGTAATTTTTGGGTCACACCAAAAAGAAATTTTCCGCCGTAGGCTTTAGCCTACACAGCCTAAGCGGTAATACGGCCCTTGATAATTTAACTTACAGCACATTCTTGTATTGTATTTTGACGTTTTTCAGTAGATGTTTTTATGGATTCTGTGATAAAATTTTTTAATATTCGGGAATATACTTCAATTTGTTGAGAAGCTGTAGATATACTTGTTATTTCACCTTGATATCCAGCATCTGATATCAACTATGAATAAATAAAATGAGAATCATATTAAGCTAATACCAAAAGACTGTAGGTAATTCAAATATAATATTTAATCATGAGTAAATACTGGTAATTATTAACAATTTCTGTCAACCAAAGTAAAAATTATGGATATACTTATATACTTAATAGTTTATTCTATGTAATGGAATTTTGAATTACATTACTAAGTAAGTATGTATTTAAATAACAAATTTTTAAATCTACAAGAAATGGAAATTGCTATAAAAGAATTTAATAAACCATAATATTACTTACAGCCCTAGATAATAAAAGTTAAAACAAAAAACTATAACAGTAATAGTTAATACCTTAATTGTAAAGTTGAGCATCAGACAATCAGGATATTCTTCTGCTAATCTATAAATTAATGATCTCCATATTTTGTGTTCAATCATTTCTGTTAACCAAGCTGGAGTCTATTGATTACAATACATATTAAAAAATAATTAATACTTATTTGAACAATAAGTTATACCAATAATAAATAGTAACAATTATTGACATACTTCTCCCTCTTCACTAAATATTGTATCTGCTTTTTTCGGATCAAATGTTTTTAATACCATATCTTTGAGGTGATTTTCAACGAAGGATTGAACTTCACCAACCGCAACACCTTATAAAATATTTTTACTTTAAACATACATTAATAAATAAACTAAAAAACAAATTGACTAGAGAATATTTCTTTTGAACAAAATATGAATTATATATAAGTTAATCTAAAGTAGTTTACTAGTGTATGAAAGTTATAAATAGTAAGCATATTTTATCATTACCTCCTAAAATCAGCCATTCAGCTACCATATTTGCCATCTGAGCAACACCAATATAATTCTTTGATAACAATTCTATAACATGCTCAGGAGTCCCACCTACTTGAAAATACCTATACGATAATTCAAAATTCATTATTTAATCACAAATTATTAGATTACTATTTTTACACAAAAATAAATCAATATAAAATTTGATCAGAAAGATTTCATAATAAATTCATCAAGCACATAAGTTAAAAAAAAACTTATTTTAGTTATTTTTCACAATAAATTTGTATACCTAAATGAATAAAAAAATGTCTTTTTATAGTTGTATTTAAAATTTCACATTTACATATTAAATGTTTTTAACATATTAATACAAACTACACATTTGTAAAACAGAGAAAACACATGCCGGTATGATGTAATTTTAAGCCAAAAAACAAAGGTCATTAAAATAATATTAATAGAAGTAAAAAGTTCATATAATTTTTAAGATGATAAAAATCTAGAAATAAGCTTGTTTAATTTAATATACCTATCTTCATTCTTGTATTTATTGTTTTCATAAATCATAATATTGTATTTTATAATGTTATAATAACTAACATAAAGAACATAGCGTATTACAGATGTCATCAATGTTTATTATAGAAGACAAATCAACTATATTAATGAATAATAATTATAAGACTAAAAAGATTACCTTTTAAGCTGTGAAAATATTCCTGGTTCCATGATATAATCAGCACTACTGAATTTCTCTAAGCATTGAGTTAAAGTTTCTTGTGGATTTTCTAATATGTCGTCATTGTCATCAGCCTAAACAAGAGTAGATACAATAAAACAGTTAAGTATGATTGAAAAAGTTATAAACATTTTAAATAAATATATAAAATATAAATTATTAGAACATTTTTTAATTTTTTTAATATATATTTTTAAGAACGTAAGCATAGCGTTGTTGATAATTTATATAGTTTTATAAAACTAACCTCTACATCGACGTCACCGTCCCAACGGCGATATTCATCATAGTCGTCTTCCATCTTGCTTAATACAGTATAGTACTGATTTCAAACACCTAAAAATAGATACACCTCAGTTACAATTGATAGAAATTAGAATATTTAGAGAAAATAAACAATTATTTAACTGTTTACCTTAGGTTAAACTATTATTAGTGCTAATAAACAATGCATCAACATTAATGATTTACAATTTTAAAATTTTATAAAAATGTAACATAAATACATTAGACACGGCTACACGCATCATAATAGTGTACCATTATTATAACATTTGTACTTGACTGAGTCTATACAAAATGCAAAATTGAAAATACAATCCAAAAGTTTATAAATTAATAATTATTGTTCATTGCTGGCGCTAAACAAGTAAACAACAAATTTGATAACAGGTATCAAACGTTTGAATTTTGTTTATAAAGTAGTTTACGGATATAATATTAGTGCAGTGGTGGGAGAAACAACTAAACGTGATATAAATGAAGGTACGTCCACAGAATAGGTGAATACAAAAAGGAATACAAGTCGAGTACAAATAGGTCTACCAAAAAAATCATAGATAATAAAGATATCTTCATTATTCATGAAAAAAATACTTGTTTTTTGTAAAATAATAATAGCAAATCTGTACTAGTGATTTGTGATTGGTAAATAATGACTCTTGAGTGGACGTTGGCTTGGGGGTACCAAAGCAGATGTCACGCCAAGTGTTGTGGTTAAATTCGAAATCTATAATTCTTTAGGCTCTAAACGTTTAGCTTTTCAAAAAAACTTTACCATTTCTATTTAATTAGTTTTGCCATAGAATATTCTGTGGTTTTGGCATGTTATTGAGTATTGTCGTATTGTAGTGAACTTAAATTTTTTTTTTTTGAAAAAGATTTTATCATTAAATTATAATATCTCAACAATTGTTAATATTATTTTATTTTGTTACCATATAGTATTAATGCTAATATAATATTTTAAAAAATGCTGTTCATAATGATTGTCGTTCTTTTGTAAAAGTTTATTTTTAAATCATTTGTTTTGTAATAAGTAATAACTAATAGTACATGAACATTTCTATCTTTAACTCCTCTAGGTACCAGAAAAAAACCACAAAATGAATGTTTAAAAAATGATTTGTACTACCAAAACAAGTGCCTACACAAGAATATAATTTAAAAAAATTAACACAATTGTAAAACTGGAACTTTTTGTTCAAACTTCAAAAATACTTTTATAGGGAGGGTCAACTTATTGGCTAACCTTTTTTTATAGATTCAGTATAAAACAAGTCTTTATGATGCAATTCTCACAATCATAAGCGATTTTAACTGCGTCCAAAATATGTTTGTGAAATAATATCTATTATAATTTGTATCTTTAATTGTTGAGCTTTCATTGTTTACACTAGAAGTTAATAACATTTTATCAATTTTATTCTGCTCTGTGCTTATAATAAAAATAAAAAATAAATTATTTTTATTTTTTTCAGTGTAAACCTCTTTGAAAAGTCTTAAATCGCAGTCAGTTGATCACGAAATCAATAAAATACAATTAATTTCCTTTTCAGTTATTTGGGAGGGTTATCGGGATACCAGGCTTCCAACTGCTCAGGCATTAATTTGGTTAAATTCTTTGCGAGTATATTTGAATGACCGGTCGCGTTATGTGTAGGATTGCTGGCTTAACTATTTAGACATTAGTATTTTATTAATTTTTGTTATGGTGAACCTAAGCTTAACTAGTTAATTAGTGTCTACTAACTAGTGTAAAGTGATGTAGAATACTGCTCTAGAAGCCTATTATTGAATTAATGATTTGGTAACAAGAATTGATGCTCTTTCATCACAGAAAATAAATTTCTTGTTATAAAGTGTTGCGAAGAATAATGTTGAATACCAGTAGGTAACTTGCGCAGAAAATATACTTTCTAAGAAACTATAGTTTCTCGAAACTCAAGATAATTAAATCGTATTTAAGAAATTCAATTGGACAAGAAAAATGATCAAACCTTACAATCTTGCATTGCTTTCCATTGAACAATAAGTATCAAAATAATTGTAAATATTCATGTAACTATCGTAAAAATATAAATACTAATATCATACAAGCAATACTGCGGAAATAATCGAGGAAATAATTATTAATAATAAATAAAAGAAAGTACTTAAAAAAAAACAAAATTGTAATGTTGTATAAAAATCATATTATACAATCACAATTAAAAGTAAAAACATATACGGTCATACAAACGATAAACCCGTACCTAGAAAATGCTTGAATTGCTAACAAAATGATATAATATAAAATACTTAAAAAGTAATTTCAAACAATGAATTATCATTTGTAAAATCAACGATAGTATTAATATATAATAAGGTAACTGATAATAAATTATCAACCAATTAATATATAATAGGTAATTAATATTTGCAATAGAATCGATAAAATAGAAATAATCAAAAAATGTATTAGGAACTTAAATTATATAATATAATAAATATATATAATAAAGGGTAATAAAATAAAATTGGCGCTAGATTAGAAAGTTTATCATTCAAGAGTCGAACACAAGATAGTGATCGTACAAATCAAAATTCAAGTAGGTATCAACAATCGAATTATTTTCATTTCGATTGCTCGATATGGCTATTATTAAAATTAGTTTATAAAAAAAAAAAAAAAACGGCCATAACCTAAAGGATCTGAACAAAAATATCGACGTTATTCCATGAGAATTGAGAACACGTCTGCCGTCGGTTAAACGCTTATACTTAGACCACGGTCCACGTGAATCTTCAAGTGTTGTGTTTGAATTTGTATGTTAACCGTCGCGTACGACATTTGTTCATTCGTGTTTGTTCGGGCGGCGATAGTAATAATACACATAGGCAATTAACGTCACCGACGACTGGCGATAATGACGGATGCGATTACGGAGTTGACGTCGTACCGGACGCTGGTGAAGTGCGCTCTAAGCCTAGGCCTGCCCGGCAATCTAAAGGTCAGTTGCAGGTGGTTTTTATAATGTTGTAATTACCTACACATTTTGTAATGACAACAATGAATAATAATAGTAGTAGTAATAATAATAATAAAAATTGTAATCGTCGGCAAACAAGACGCGACGATTAAAACGTGAGACGCCGTTGGTGTTCACTTACTATCGCGTAAAAACGTAGATAAAATATTATATCAATTAACGATGTGCAGAAATGATATATATTCGCGTGTCACGTGTGTGTAGGTATATAGAACCGCACAGATAAACATGTATGTGGGTCGTTCGCGATAGTACGATGGGCGTGCGGTGCTTTTCCCGGGTTTCCCGACGCCGTCCGGTGTATTTATAGAACGCACTAGTCGCCGAAAACCGGTTTTGCGTCCGGCCCGGGCGTTTGAAAATTACAGGTTATTGTCAAACCGGCCAATGGCTGCCGCGCTAAAGGGACTTTGCGGCGGCGGCAGATTCCACCCCGCCGCCGACGATCGGACTTCGGGCGGTTCGGTGCTTAATCGGCGTTCACTTCTGTCCACACTCCACCGCCGCGACTCTCGAGTACTGGTCCTTAGTTTCCGTTTCAGTCTCCCCTGTGCTTCGCGCCAAAAATCGTCGTCTCTGTACGTTTTTCGCTGGTCAGTGAACGTCGTTATTCTTCCGGCCGACGATCGACGTGTTTGCCTGCGGTTCCGGTCTTATGTCGATTTTCTTGTGCGTCCACCTAGTCTGCTGTACGATTTCGATTTAAATAATTCCATGATTTAAACTATGCACCTACGTTGTTTTTTTTATACCCAACACTTTAGGTGCTTTGTCTTCGAAATGTAGTTTCGTTTTCACATAAATTGATATTACTGTCCTGTTTTTTTTTTCATCTAAGTTTTTTAACTAAAGGAATTCAATATCTTACAGAAATCCGAGTATGTTGAACTACTGAGATTGCATCGAATGGGATTTCAATTCGAATGTAAAACATTGGCACACATTATGAAAACGAAAAGACAGACTAACAAGAAGACCAATACCAAAAAACTGATAAAAAAGCGATCTGTTGGAAGGCCTCGTAAATCAAAAATTAAATATGATGAATTGTCATCAGAAACATCATTAGAGAGTATAAAAATGCGTACACAAGTGACTACGAGTATTCCATTTGAAAAACCTCAAATCCGTTCAACTGTTAGACCACCGAAGCCTAATTCTGAAGTTCATGTATGAATTTATGTTAATATTTTAAAGTATAATTATATGTATCAGCGGTAAACATTACTCACATCTAATGAAATATTGGAGAGTTGTGTTCTTGCCTTCATTTTTCTCTATTTTCACCATCAAATGATGGGAGGACCTATAATTATAGTGGCTCTCCGAGCATTGAAAAAATGTATTAAATGCTACTGTTTATTTTAAGTACCCATCTAATATAGCTTAATTTTTACTAGTTTTTTATAATTTTGCCTACTTACTATTACATTAGTATACATTGTTAAATATATTTAAAGATATAAAGAAATCTTTGTATGGTTAATGTTGTTTTTAAATTTAGGTGTCCTCTTCTAGCCCTGTGGAAAATATTGTCTATCGACCTCCAATTGCAAAGACTACAAGTGTACTTTTAAGAAACGTGTTGCTTTCAACAGATAGAACTAGGTTTAATAGATCTACAACAGATGCTAGTCTTACTATTTCAAACAACAACAATCCATATTGTAACTATTATCAGGTAAAGATTCTTATTTGAATTTCCTAATTATTTCAATACTGACAACCCTATACTTTATTTGTCCTTAACTAGTTAGGTATTTTTTAGTGTAGTGTATAACTTTATTACTGTTAAATGTATAAGTGTTAAGTACTGACTTCATGGAGGTATCTTATAAATCATACCAGAAACAATGGTATAAGTACCCTAGTACATAAAATGATATAACATTTATAAAATTAATCTTTGTATTTGATTTTCACCAATATTTTATCTTCTGTGTTTATTTCAAAATTCTTACGAAATATAATATAACACTGTCATATGTGTTTGAACTTATATTTGATTTTGCTTCATGACAAATCTTCTGAATAGAATTTACCATAACTCATCAAACAGTAATATCACAAATATTACTGCTATAATGGTTAGGTTATATAGCGTTCACACCTAAGATGACCTAACAGCTATGAAGGTATCGAGTGAGAACGCTATATGTATGTTTTAAAATAGGTATGCCTTTGTTTTTGTTACTGCTCAATGCATTATTTCATACAATTGACTAACTATTTCATTAATTTTATTAATTAACTTAAAAATAATATGTTTTAGTTGGACAAATCAAAACACCTAAATCTAGAAGTTTCACATAGAGCTTCATCGTTTGCTGAAAACTCATCCCGAGTAATTTGTGCACTATAAAGAGTTTATTGATATTGTGATTTATTGACAATATTGTGTTTACTTTTTAGTTAAAGTGGAAAAACAGCAATAAAAAGTTAAACATACCTACAAAAGAAATAAAATCTACTGTATCTGGAAGTGGTTACCTTTCTAACCTTCAAGCTTTTCCTGATATCCCACAACTGGCTGATGTAGATATTAATGCGAGTTTTGAGCTAGATAACTCTAACTATAGCATGTAAAATTATATGAATAATTTTTTTATTATTCACAATTTGAAATAATTGATTTTTTATAGAAATGATCAAACTGATTCAGAAACAGTGCTATGTATTGATGATTCTGATACCTTGAGTAATGAGTCTGCAGAGAACATTGAAAAGGAACAGCAAGAGTTTGATCAACGTTGGGCTATGTCAGTTCGTATGGAGAGTGGAGCATTGACATCACCATTTGCTCATTGTGAAACATTTAATCCATTAGACGATGTAAATTGATTCCACACTTGTTAATATCCCGATTAAACCAAGAAATATATTTAAATTTGTTTCTTTTTAGGTTTCTCTGTTAGGGCCACAAGATACAGCATTAGTACAAAATGATGTTATACAAAATTACATAGAAACAAATAATGTCCAGTTCATGCAATTACCGGATTCCAGTTGTGAAGTGATTAGAACCTTGCAATACTATGAGTCAAGATTATTAACTAGTCCTTGGTCTTTTCCAGAACATGTAACGAAGAAATAAGTTTTTAATTTTTTCATATTTATTAAGAAAAATTATTATTTAGTTACAGAATCATAATGAGTCTATTTCAAATGAACAGACAGTGCATGGTGAGCAATTAAATACAACAGGATCAAACCACACTCTTGCAGAATTTGCAAATATGCTTCCTTGTCCAATTGCTGGCTGCTTATGGTATTCACATTCTGCAACTTTATATGTTCACTTGTTTACAGTAAGTAATTTTTAACTTTTTTTCGCCTCTAGTTGATAATGTAACATAATAAAATATAAAAAATGTATCTATCGTTATAATTTTTAGTGTCACCAAGATATGATATACTATGGAAATTCGATTGCGCATGTGTTCAGATGTCAAGATATACAAAATTTCTGCTTTTTTACTCATTTACAATTCGTACAAAATACTATATATATAATCACTGTTGCATTTGATAGCTATAGTCACACATTTGTTGCCACCATTCAGGTACTATTTTATTATGTGTATTTCTTTATACATTTATCTTATATAAGATTAAGCTTGGGGGTGTACTTCTATATACATTAGTGGTAATATGTGTAGTTAATGCTTGCCATGTGCCTTGGTTTCTCAAATTTTTTGGTCATGAATATGAGGTAATAAATATAAGCTGATCACAACCAGATTTTATCGAGTAGTGGTCTGGCAAAACTAGACAACAATTAGTGTCGCCTAAATTTAATCTTATATGATAGATTATAATAATGATTTGGTTATTTGCAGCATGTTTCATCATATGGTGACAATACAAGTGTTTCACCAACTACAGCTATACTGACCACTAGTTCTGTGTGTAATGCGACTGATCAACATTCTTGGAGTGGCCCAGTGCAGCCTTACAGTGTTCCATTGGATGTGCTACATGCTGATGGTAGATGTTTATTCATTGACCCTACCAATTCTGAACAGATGATTATCAATGTTAACTTAACAGTACCATTGATTTATTCAAATGATTCAATGTTTGCCTGCTTATGAATATTATATTTGTATTCTTTATTATGCTTTATAGTATTTATTTAGTACCAACAATGCTATATCGAGTTATGTTTTACAGAACATTCTTATTACATGTTTAATTGTTTTACTTTGTTATTAATTTATTATTATTTAACTTTTTTGTTGGTAAGGTACCAACTGTTTAATATATAAATTACTATTAATAATTAAATGGTTGGTATAAAAAATATTACCTTTATATAGATAGCATATGATACTATTGTGTCTCTTATACAAATGCTTAATTATTTTACTTTTTATTACAGTACATTACTTTATTTATGTTAATTTTTCTTTACCATTTAAATACTACAAAAGAATAACACAATTATGTTCAGTAATTATGGGTAATTGTGTTGGATATCCATTTATAGTTTTGTCCCAATCCTAAAAAGTATGATTCAATTATTATTTATTTATAAGGCTATAATTGATAATTTTGTTTAATTGTATTGTTGGCATCTTTCTGATTACAAATATACTTTTTACATATGTGTAAATAATTCAAATTTGAATTACCTCATCTAAGGTGTTGTAATTAAAAGATTCCAAATATGTTTGGTTTAAATTTAAGTGACATTGGCAATGTATTTTATGTATTATTAAATATTGTATATTATTTAAAACTTAATAATTATATAAGACATATATTTATTTTTCTGTAATAAATTTTTTTTCTGTTAATACAGCAGATATAGTTTGTAAAATTTATTATTTCTATACACATTTAATATCAGACAATCTAAGTGTGTTTTTTAGCCATAGATTTCCATAACATAGTCCAACTAAGATAAATTTTGACAAAACCTGACAGCTTCATTAGATGAGATTGAGAAAACAGGATTAAGTGATAAACTAGTTTAACTGAAGTATTTACATTTGCAGATACTTATTAATTATCAGTATGAAAAGAATATAATATGGTTGAGTACAAAAGCCTTGAAAATTAACAGGTAATAACTATGATTATGATGTGAACTTTATTAAATTTACCAAAGAGCACAATTAATCAAAAATATTTCAAGGAATCTTTAAGTTGCTGTTCAAATATATGCTAAGTGGAGTGCCAATAGGGATTATCGTCTACCGCAGCGTTTCCCAAAGTTTTTTTTTCGATGGTGCCCTTTTTTGGTTAAACGAAGCCGCTGTGCCCTGCCTTAAATATTTTTTATACATAAAAACCGCTTATTCTTATTGATAATCAGTTTCGACTCGTGCAGTCCGATACAAATCGAACTACACAATTTACATTTTTTTTTACACTTCAATTTGAAATCTAAAACAATTACAATAAATTATAACTCGTTTTTTATGAGTCATTGTGCCCTCGGAAAGTGCTCGTTGTGTACAGTTTAGGAACCGCCAGTCTATCTAGATGTGACCGCCTCAGGGCTTTTTAAAGGATGGTAAGAACAGGCAGGTTAATGGCTTATTGGTAATAATTTAGTATTCTATACTAGTTAGTAATCATACAATAGCCTCTGAAAAATTACAAGTTTTTAAATTTTAAGTTCGCCATGCCACTGCATAGGTTTAAGTACTATATGATAGTATGTTATTAATAGCCCCGAATGTTGATGAGTCCATCTTTTTTTGAAACATACTCTATAGACTGATTTCCTACCCTAAAATATGTTTCAATAACATACAACTAAATTTTTTTAACGATTGAGAGAAAAATTTAATTTTAAGTTAATTTTTTGTTATTTTTATATTTCTTAAAAATCGAATGATTTAATTTTAATTACCCAATATGAAAAATACCTACCTACAGCGAAATGTGTATAAATGTTTTCTAGATTAAAACCAGTTTTTAAATTCAAATCGCGTATGTGTATGAATTGTAAAATTTTAATTTTAATTTTGAAATTAATAAATTATTATATTATTTTAAATAGTTTTATGATTGTTTTGTTTGAGTATTTAGGTGATTAACTTATACAATTTTTGGGATTGTTTGCGTTTTTTATGTCATACATGAATATATTTTTAAGATTATGTCATCAGTGTATTTATGACTAATGTGTCTCGCTTTAAAATTAAAAAAATAATAAAATGAGATGCTCTATAGCTAATAATTTTACCTCCAAATGTTATAAAAAATCGTTTCACTCTAACTTTAGAAATTACTATGATAATGATCATTATTGTGAATGTAAAATTTGCCATGTTGCGCATGGGTTAGAGAGAAATAAAATGCGCCGATATCCTGTTAACATCCAGCCCCTAATTACTACATAACGTCATAAGATGCATTTTATAACTAAGTAGACAAATGTACAATAGTTAATAATATTGCAATGATTTATTAAAATGTAGGTAAGTAATAAAAAAAAAGTTAAGTTGATAATAATTTTCAAAGTCCTCTATTGAAATACAATGTGTCTGAAAGTTCAGCAGATTTTTCAGTGACTTGACTATAAGCTTCTTTATCAAATTTCTGTAATGTACTCAATTTTACAGAACTGAAAAGTTAAAATACATAATAATACACTACAGTACTGAACGTGTTATAGTAATTTTGTATTTTTAAGTCTATCAAGAATGAATTATAAAAATAATTACTTACCTAAATTGTGGAAACACAGCACATGCTGTAGGGAGCATACCAATGAGTCTGTGAAAACAAATTTAGATAAAATGTTTTATTTATATATAAATAAGATTCAAAAACATGCTGATACCTACAGGGATAACGATAAATATGTATTTAAATTATTTCTATTATTATTTATCAGTAGTAAGGCACAGTGGAAGCAGTGATGTGTGGGGGAAGGGATGATCGGATGATGGAGACAGATATTCCACCCCAGAGCTTTTAAAAACAAACAAGGTTTCTCATAACTAGTCCATACTGAAGGCAAACAATCTAATAAATATATAAGCAAATTCTTTCTACAGATATTTTAAGTTCACATTGGGGATAGATTCCTCCACGACCAATTTTTAGCTTCTGAGCGGAGTGTCATCACTCATCATCTTTTGAGCAGGTCACTAAATAAATGATTTCGTTCACGATCAGTCCTTAAAAAAGGAACTCGTTCACGTTCACGTTCATAAAAAAATGAATGCGTTCACTAGGTTGTGTAATGATGTGCACATAAGCAATCATATCTTGTTTTTTAAATTTAATATGTATAATAAAATAATTATAATAATTGTTAGTCATTAAGGATAAGCATAAGTTACAGATATTAAATAGGATAAAATATATCAATAAGAAATATATATATATCTTATTTCACACATTACACATACGCACCTACACACGCACACACACGACATTAGATATTACTTATATATCATGTAAGGAACCGAGCATTTAGTCACCAGGCCAGACGTGTTATTATTGCCTTTTTGTATATACGTTCAAGCGTGAGTGTGGCGAACTACGCGTATCGTCTATGCAAAAAGGCGTAATGGTGTAAGTTAATTTAAGGGAAAGAAAATAAAATTTAAAATAGTGAACTTAATTAGAAGATTTCATTTTATTTTAAAATACAAACCGGTCACCTCATTCCACATATCAGACGCTAACCACGGTTACAATAAAGAAACTGCTACAAGGATTAATGAGGTAATATCACCATTTTATTATAATATAATTTATATTACAATATTTTAAACTAAGTAATTGATCTAGAAACACACAACTGTAATCTATAGTGTGTTTTCATTTTATTACAGTTGTGCATTTAATTTTTTTATGCTAGGAATTATAATAAGATCTATAATATAGTTAATCAATATTTTTTAAACATAAATGGCAAATAAATTGAGCGTCTTAAAAATAGTTGACAAAATATAAACGTTCACGTTCAATTTAATAAAAATAAGTGACGTTTGTGCATCGTTCACTAAACATGAACGTGATGAGTTCATGGAAATGTTTTTTTCCAAATCGTACTGCTTATATGCCAGTAAATATGCTTCGATTTTTTACTTCAACATATTTTCTGACAGGAAAGTGAATTTATTTGGTACTATGAGGGAGTCAAAAGTAAAAGATCCCAGAAGTTTTCATAATTTGGAAAAATTCAAAAAAAATAATAATAAAGGTAACGCAAAACTAGTTTTCTAAAGCAGTTAAGTTATTTGGTGTAGTTAAAAAAAAATTACAGTACCGTAGTAGATACACAACATTTTCACCAAATTAGTATTTTTAAAAAATTATTGCCTAAAATATTTTCAAAAAAACTTGTCATGCCGAGGGTTTCTCATGAGTCGTTGTTAGTGGAAACTAAAAAACAGTTGACCATAAATCAACAATATTAACTAGTAATTTTTATTTTTTTAATAGCGTTTTTTATTATTTGAAGTAGACAATGATCAAAAATATATATTAATATATCTATAATTTATTATACTTAGGAAAAAGCAATTTAGAAATGTATTCTATAATAGACAAAATTAGACAAAAGTCAAAAAATAATAATTTCATGTTAAATAATAAAAATGTTCTCATTGAAATATGTATCTAAGGAATATGTCCTACAACATCGAAAAAAGCGATGGGGGGAATGTCCATGATTCTTGTTAATTATACCTAAACTGTAATATAGGTAAATTTTTAATTTGTAAATCTTTTTTAATCTCGGTAGGTACGTCGAATATTTTGGCAAAAATATAGGTCAGACTGTCAAATAATAAATTATTTAATTATGTCTATTAATTTAATATAATATGTAGTACTTACATAATTCCAAATCCAATTGAATTTAAAGGAAAATGCACCCATTTATTTTTTCTAAACCAGCAGCTTTTATTATCCAAAACGTCTCCCAAGTATTGAATTAAAACTAAAAATAGCAACAATTACACAATTACATTTTCATATTCTTACTGAGATAGCAGGTAGGTATCTAGGTATTTTAATTTTAAGTTTATTTAATACTAGACGTCATTTATGAATAACCTGTTGACATACTGTTATTTATTATTTTTAACATCAATTTATTCTTTATTAGGTAATAGGTATTCATTACGACCCTGAGTATAAATAAAAATGTGGACATAATTAATTCACATTATTTATGCCCCAATGATTCCTTTAACTTAAATTCTAATTCTTATCAGAAACACCTAACCTAATAGTGAACCATTAAGCTGATCACTTTGTTATGCCTTATGCGCATTCTGTTAAAATAACTAAAATAGTTAACTCGCAAGCATCAAATAAATCTGCCGATTGATGCTGTACTTAAACATTTTGAACTTGGTATGATTATTGACAGTATTCTAGTGGCGGATCCACAGTATAGGTTTTTTGGGGGGAGGTTCCTAAAAAATTATTTTTACGCCAGTATACATATAATAATAATACGTGTTCCTAAAAATATGATAAAAGAAATGGTTATTAAGGGAATGTTATTAATTTTATGATGGTTGGATTAAGAATCGTTTATGTTAATTGAGGACCTTTAATAACTATACTATAGTCAATAATATATTTTAATTATTTTATTTTAAAATAACTGTTTAAAGAGGTCTGGGGAGCGGCGAGGCTCCTAGCCCGGCACTGTAGTATCTTAGTTTTCGGAATTCTACAAAAATAAAATTAATAATTTATTCTGAAAGGTTTTTAAATTAATTTCCACAGTTGATTGGTTGAATCATAAAGTAAATTGTAAAACAAGTTATAAAATATAGTTATTTACTATATAGTAGGTACTTATTACATCTAGGAAATACATGGTAAAGTATTTTAAGTTTTGAGTATTGCCTGCAATAAAATAATTTAAGTCGTGCAAAGGACGTTAATTGAACTATCTTGGTACAATATTTAATATTTAAGAATTCTCATATAATACCTACTCCCGGAGCAAGCATTATAATTCTAGTAACTATGGTTTCTCCTATGCCTTTTAATCCAGCAAACTGTAAACAAATAGATAAAATATTGTTAAAATAATTATATCTGCACTAATCTCGACTTAAAATAATAAAATACTAACTCTTGAATATCCAACTTTTTCTTTATTGCAGTCATATATTCTTACACCTTCTATGATTTCTTTGTGTCTCATTATTGGGACATTAATAAAACTGGCGCCTGCGAATGTCATCAATGGGACGAACCGCTAATGATGATTTTAAAAATGATTACTAAATATTATTTTTATTTTGTAATAATGAACCTACAATGAAGCATTTGGTATTATTATTATGCCTGCAGTGAATTCTAATATTAATAAAATAATAATAATATTATTAAGAAACTGTGCAATCGCTAGAAATATTTTATATTCCTGAAGAAGAATGAAAATAATAGTCATAGAAAAGGCTTAACGAGTACATACTACAGGTTATAGGATTAATAGATTTACATGAAGTATTCGATGACATATCTTGCTAAGGAGAAATCTTTCAATGTGAAATGCGGCCAACGTCGATGTTGCTGTGGCAGTCAAAATGGATATTCCGAATCTAGCTTGAGTAGTTGGACTGAATTTGGTATCACCATTACGGTTGGTAAAATTTACTAATGAATCGTATGATTGATTAAGACCATGCCAAGCATAGCTGGATGAATTCTTTCTACAATGTTATAATAAAATATATACCTAAAGTATACATTAATAAAGTATAAAATAAATGTTATTTTTACTATTATAATTAATTAATATGATGCCATATTATAATATAATATTATATGCCGTTGCCGTATGCAACTTATAAACTGAATAATAAATAATATATAAGTACAAAATATAAATTAATTAGTAATTACAACCTACACCTATCGGCTATAATTGATGTTAAACTATAACTGTTAATGAATTATTTATTATAATTATTTTTTTTAAGTAGGTATCGGTAATCGGTAAAATTAATGTAATATTACGTATACCTATACTGTTTATGAATTATGATAATTTATAATTATATTTAGTTTTAAGTTTTGTTATAATATATAATATTATACATATTAATAGGTGCTAATTAGTATATACATATGAAATTATGCATATTAAATATTAATAAATACAGTTATAAGGTATCATAAACCTATTATAGAAATAATAGATTATAACAAATAGGTAGGTAATAGCTATTTAAGTAAAGTTTATCTGCCTATATGAAAAAGCACAATTAAAGTGTTTTTTTTTTTGGTGATGGGTGATTCTTGAGGTACAATGTTAGGTACCAATTATGTTTTTTTCTACCATCTACTGCAGTGGTGTTAGCTTTATGGGAAAACGAGAAAAATACGATGTTTATCCAATCTAATATTAATTGTAGATACAAATAATACATCATGCATATTTATGTTTATCATAGTAGGTACTTTATTTATAACTTACGTCAATTGAGATAGTAGAACAGCAACTAATAATGATTTACCAATTGGTATAAATGACAATCGTCCAAAACGATTTTGAACTTCGTTCGTGTCGGGGTGAATTACATTTTCGTAAATTTGTTGTGCATGTAACAATTTTGTATCTGTGATATCATCGTTCGTAATTGATCCATATCTATATTCAGTTTTAGTCATAAACGTTGAACAATGGTCAATATCACAAAATTTACACATGTGATTCTATGATGTGATCTACTAGCTAGTTATAGAAATAAATACCTATCATAAGCTATGAAGCCATGTAGTATATTATTGTATTTACGAATACTCATATGACTCATATGGATAGCCGGTAAGTAATAACCAAGGGTGCCCGTATGGGGGTGCCGAGGGGCGCATAAAATATCAGGGATTTTAGTTATATTAATATTTAATTGTTTTATCACGTGTATAGAAACTGACTAAGACTGCCGATTCCCCCCTCCACCGGTTTACATTTCTGCAGCCACCCTTGGTAATATACCTAATAATGCCGGGTTGCATGAAAAAATTATTAATCTAACAGCCCAATAAAATTTAATGGACCAATCACGGGCCGCTAAACCATGTTTAAGGGATTATTAGCTCATTATTGTTTCGTTAAATGTTTAGTGATTGTTCATACAATACGGAATAAGTATTCTACTAAATCTATTTTAATCTAGGTTCGATTTTTCCGCGTTACTGTATAACTGTGTGTAAATATTATAATATAATGTTATGTTTGCCATATTATTTTGTTGAGATGAAGAATTATTAATCAATAATTAGGTATACCCTATTGGCTATTAATAATTAGTAATTACAGTATATTAACTAACCATATGTGATGTAAAATATTATAATAAATTAAATTATATATTAGCTAGCTAATGTTAGTTAGCTATTGTAGTATAGTATATATGTTACAATGTTACATAAATATGTACTATATACATTGTATGCTTGATGGTGATCAACCACTTTTTAATAATATACAATTTTAGATTAATATTATTATTTAAATTTACTTATTTATTTTTAGGTAGGTACATACAAGTAAGAGAGGCGTATTGATTTGGCATTTTCAATGGTAGCGGAGCTGATGAAGTTCAATTTAGGATTAGTAATCCAAGAATAATACATCCATCGCCCAAAATAGGTATTTAAGTCCCATGGACATGACACTGTCTTAGGATTTTCCATCATGGTACTGCAAAAAAAATATATTAGTACCATATACGATGTACACCATATTCAGTCTTATATATAAATAAACCTGCGAGTAACTTAAATCGATATACATAATTAATGTACACTTTTGCAGTAGATGTTACGAGTGTAGTCCAAAAAACCTAAGTGCACATATACGATAAACCTATTATAGTTTGTCTATTTTAATTATTGTATATAGTGTGGATACATTATACCCAGCTAATTTGTACATTTGCGGTTAAGCGAAAATAGTGCACTGGGCAAAATCGAATTTTGCCACCCTTAAAATAATAATATTAGTTATCGCTGTTTTGAAAATGCCGCCCCCTTGAGCCGGGCATGCATTGGCGATTAGCCGATGTGTTGTAGATAAAGTCAGTGGACTCACGAAGAAACGAACACACTTTTTTGGGGATATTCCCCAATAGATGGGTGGGTAATTTCTAATTTTGTAAAAATACCTATTTTACATTTAACTATCATTAATCATTAGTGAATAGGTAATTAGGTATTATATTTGGCTGGTTTACATGTTGTATATTATAACAGTGGAACTGGGAAGAAATATTATTATTATTACTATAAGTTTTTGAAGTATTAACATTCGGTTACTATGGCCATTAGTATTTTGTGGGGTGTTACAGTTTTTCTTGAGCGACACGTTTGTATGTGGGGCGAGGCCAAGAGGATTCGTCGCTAAGAATCCGAGTGGTCATCCATCCAGGAGCTGTAGACGGCGGACGATGCTTGACCGCAACACACATAAGCGACTGTGGCCAACCACCGAGCAACATCATGACTCCCGAGAATAATAATACATATTTCTACTGCGTAGGGTATTTAAAATATTGGAATTTACAGGTAAAGTAATAAAACATTAAAACATATAGGGCACCTACATAGCTAAATAATTAATGTTACATTAATGTTATTTGATATTGTAAAATAATAAAAAAAAAATTATTCGTAGGCATGAACTGTGTATTTGTGTGTAAAACTGAGTGTACCCACCAGGGCCACCACGAATAATATATCTTAATTCGTAATATTACCCGGGTAAGCAACCTATGAATAGGGGACTAAGTGCCATATCGTATACACTGCGTCACTCATCTCAAGAGAGTCTGATTGTCACCCTTACTAAGCATGCAATGTCGCAGAGCACCATCCTACTTACCTATATGCAGGTTGTCGCTTTGACGTATCTATCTAAGTATACTAATTATTATAAAATGCGATTGCTACAAAAAAACCGTAAAAAAAATTTATGTATTATATTTTAATCATATGAAGATTTTTAAAAGAAAAAAATGATCATTAAACAATCAAACTCCACAGATCATAGTAATTGGTAGGCAAGTCAATGTCGATTGGTATCGTTTATACTGACCCATAGAATTATATTTAGTATACGCTATAATTTCTGAATGATAAGTCATTTTCGGTTCGTAATTTTAATTTTTTTTTTTTTTCCGTTTGAACCGACAGCAGAGGAGGATCTGTGTGAACACTACTACTCCTAATTATTTTTATTTGGATTTAAGCGATTTAACTAAATTTCAGTGCTCACACCAAACTACCACAAAAATAAATTCATTATTTTAAGTACAATTTAATTAAATAGGTATTAATTTTCACTATTTGACAACACTGAATTGGAAATTCAAGTTGGGACTCTGGAATATAAAGAAAAGATATCATAAAAAAAAATATTATTACATGTATTTGTTGCTTATCAATGTCATTAACAATCAGGTAGTTAATGAATAACATGTAACCTCAGATTATTTTATTAAATTATTTGTTTAATATAATCTGTGATGTAACTTAAAATGTTGTCTTTGCGGAATCAACTTTATTTGATGAGTTTTGAAGCTTAAATTGTCTGATAGAAAGATTTATTGAATTCAAACTCATGACGAAAAGAAATTTCAGCATTTCTTAACCCTTTTTTTTAAATTCATGTACCCCTTGACCTCCAAATTCTCACCACTGCTTTAAGTCAATTGTTAATTTGTCATAAACTTCTTTTCACATAAGATATAGATAAAAATCTATGAGTTAAGTATTAAAGTTTAATAATAATCAAATTTTTTTTTTCCACTACAATGCTTTTTTTTCGCTTCAACCCAAAGTTGATGTATTTGATAAGCAGTTTTTTTTTTAACAATGTCAATATCCTAGACTCCTAATTCTTGAATAGTATTTGATTTTAGTATAAAATATGGACATTGTTACAATCATTTTTTCATTAGATTTCCACAAATTAATTAATAAAATGCTATGATAACAATCAAAATGACATCTCTTCATGGAACTATAATATTGAAATAAAGCAATAGGTCCAATCGGTGAAAAATAAACAATTTACATTTTAATGTATGTAAATCTGATCACAAATCATTATATTATACTCAGTTTCACAAAAGAACATGCTGCGGGTTGACCAAAATCGATTTTTCTGCATATCCTGACATGACAACCTACCATAGGGGAACCAGTTTCAATAACAAGGTGACACAAGAGGATGACTTCAGTTTTATCATTTTGAAATAAATGGAAAACCATAATTTATACCATTATATGATTTATCTTCTGGCCTTCATGTTTCTGAAATTTAACATATTTTGAGGAACAGTAACATGAAATGACTAAGCATGACTCATAAACCAAATAGTAAATTCTTTGTTTTTACTAATAGAATATGTTGATAATAATTAATACGATTAAGTACACATAAAAACAAAACAAAAATATAAATTTAATACCTAAAACATCTATTTAAAACGAAAAAAAAAATAATTCTAAAACAGCACAGTTTAACAACAAATTTTACGAATTTGTTTCTTTATTTTTGATGGATTCACCAGCTTGTTCTTCAGCATTTAAAAATTCTTCATCGTCTTTTAAACCTTCTGAATATACTTCTGGATATTGGTCCATGCAAGTCCACATAGCTGTGAACTTTTCCCTACATTCCATACCTTTAGGTTCTTCTTTACTATAATGAAAACACGTAAATGATTCTCTAAATTCAACCCCACAAGGCCCAGTCGCCATTCCTCCTAAGCACGGGCAATTCCAGTTGATGGAGCCATCTGGAAATATGAGACCAGGGGAGGGTTCTGGAGGTGATAATATGACTTTACTAGGTGACTGATGATCTTCTTTCGTGGCAAATATGATTGTGTCTTTTCCATCTTTAATTACTTGTGACATGTTTATAAGTGCTGTCTTCTGTGATGAATGATATTAAGCAAGACGAACCGCGATGCACGTTGAATGCAACAGTATTTGAGTTGTGACGTCCAAATAAAGTAAGAGCTCCTCGAAATTTAATGTAAAAAGTAGATGGACACCTAATTATGCCTTTTCCAGCTTTAAACCTTAGAACATCAAAGTTGACACTTGATCCAAACTAAAAAAAAGTTAAATTATTAAAAATTATTGATAGGTATTTAATTGAATGTTTTATGAAATATTTAGCTTGAGTTATATATATCAAAATTCATATAACAGTTGCAAATAATTTATTAGTATAGACCATATAGGTACAGTATACTCTTAATACTGATGCGATTGTAAAATAACATTTAACTGTAGCATGTATATTAAAAAATTAATGGTACAAGTCTATTTAAATAAATTTAAGTAAATAATTACATAAAACCTAGTCCAAAATCCAGACAATGAGAAACATTAACACAAATTAATACATAAAATAAACATAATTTTGTACCTGGCCAAAAACTTCTTTAAGTGCTTCCTTGATGTAGAAAGAAAATTTGCCGTCATTCACGTCAACGATGTCCCCTTTTCTGTCGAGAACATTTCTATATAGACAAGGAAATAGAATCGGTTATTATACATTAGATTTAAACAAGTAAATACTGATCAAGCAATAGAGTATGATTCAAAAGTTACTCACAATGTGACTTCTAGGAAGTAATAAGAACACATAATCGGTTATAATAATACATTGTATTCTGACTATGTAATTTCAAATACTAAAACCTAACCTAACAGGTACTACGGTCTACGGTTGTATTTTGGAAAAAAAATATACAAAACAACGGGCACAACCTACACGGCTGTGCAAAAAACCAGCGCACCTAGTAAAGTGCCTAACGCAAATAAGGCGGGCAGCCAGTATTGAGAATGCACTATGACTATTGCACCATAGACAAGAATATTAAAAAATGCCTATGCCCTATCATTAAAGATTTTTATTTTTTATTTTTTTTTTTAATCGGTCCAAACGTATTTGAGGTTAAAAATTAAAATCTCGGAGATCACGATTGACGGGCGCGCATCAGTGTGGCCAACGGAACTCGGGCCGGGCGGTTCGACAAGATTGTTGGCGCGCCACCCGCGGTTGTCGGCCCGTCGTCCCGCCGCGCTATCAACGGAGCTGCGTTAATTTTTTTTTGAATGACAAAATAATATCATTTCGATTTTCGCTTCCAAGTTCCATTCGTCCCGTGGTCGCCGCCGCCGCCGCCGCCGCCACAGACTGCAGACGTCTTGTCATTATTATTATTTTTGTTGTAGTGCACCTACCCGCCACCGCGGTCGTCGTTTTCACACTATTTTCGTGTGCGTGTGCCGTGTGCGTGTGTGCGTGTGCCGCTGTCTGCCGTGCCGATCGACCGATCTCGCGCAGTTCGCCGACGCCGCCGCTGCTGCCCGTTGCCGTGTCCTGTCTTGCGCGCGTGTGTATGTGTGGTGCCGTGCGTGTGCGTGTGCGTGTTGCCGTTTCGTTGCGTTTGTTGCCGACGACGACACGTCTAAATGGGAAGCGTGAACAACGCTGTCCGTTGCGGTTTCATATGTCGTCTGTGTTCGAAAATCGACAAGCGCGTTGTGCACATCTACGGCGAACTAGGCAGAAAATACAATTTGGTTCAAAAGATCAGAGACTATTTGCCCATAAAGGTAAAGCACACACACACACCGATGCTCACCGCGCCTCGGCGGTCGTTGACGTCTATTTATTATTTTATTTATACACTGTTGTTGTATTTGCCCGTTTTACGTGCTTGTTCGGACGCTCCGAAATCGAGATGGCCCTGTAGAGTCCCCAGGACAAACGCTGCTGGTCGGGTTGGGAACAAAAATTCGGGCGGCGATTTTCGTTTTCGTCTGCCCTATTGAATTTCGTTATTGTGTTTCGAAACGAGTATGACGAAATCGGTGCGCGCACGCGCGCCCGTGTGTGTGTGTATATGTGTAGTAATGTATACCATGTCATATATTATTATGCACATTGCACACGCGCGCGCACACACACACACACACACACACACACGCCTGTAGATTGTGTGCGTGTTGCGTTATCACCGGGCCGTTGCGATTTAGCACTAAATGTGTAGAAACACGTCTGTAATTTTGCGCCATCGCCGAGACGGTCGCGGGGGCGACGGGCCGCGTTTCTCTGGGACCGCGTCGTCGTCTTCGTAGCCGTTTTTCCGCGGCCCCGACGTTTCTCGGCCCAGGGTTTCCTCGGGAAATTTTATCACATTTTCGCGGGACCTACATTGTTCCGCCGTCGGTTCCGACCGACACTCCGCCGCCGCAACCTTGACCTCGGGTTTTCGGTGAACTATTTTTTTTTTTGTGTTTTTCAGGGTTATTAAAAGTGTGTTACTTTCATAGGCGCCGAGGACGCTGTAGCCTTGACGCCCGAGCTCCTTGCGCGTAATATACGATGGCAATATCACAATAATATAACGCAAACGGTTGTGTACTACCTGCCTACCCGGGTAACCGTTTTCGAAATTTAATTTCTCCGTCCGCACGTCGCGTTAAATTTGGAATAGTACCTAATTACACGTGCGGCACATCCACGCCGTGTGCCTACCGTGTCTCGCCTGGACCGTAGATCATACTACCAGTACGTTGGTAGTACCCACGTCATGATGTGTGAAATTTCTTGAAAATCTATTTGCCGGCCAATTTTTGTTTTTAGTTGCGAATTCAAGGTCTTACACGACATTGTCGGCTTTCTAAGTGAATTGCTATTTTTTTTTCTTTCGATTTTCGTTATGATATTATGATGTAGACACGAATTATTTGATTGCAGTTTGATGTGTTGAATTCGGAATATAAATTTTGATGTCCTTTTTTAACATTTTCCATGGTCCATATGCAACCTTGACCCAACTGTACCCGATCACCTACTATTTGGATATATTTTAAATTAAAAGTATTTGAAAATGAGTCAAGGATATTAAATTGGTTACACTATTGAAATCATACGGATTGTATGCAATTTTAACAATGATTACATTGGTGATGTCATATTGATACAGGATGGTTATGGAATCAAGTTAATATTTGTTTATGGTTATGCCTACCTTGTGTAACTATACACGTATAATTATTTTTATAAAATTGAGTTTAACAATAATAGCTATTAGGCATTATCTTAATGTCGTCAAACCCAAAATCAAATCACACACAAGCTATTTCCTTATTTATTTAGAACTATTATCGTTTACAACAATATGTACCTAATTGGTTTTAATAAATTTTATTTCTTGTGTTACTTATACAGACTAGAATTTGTATATTTTGTTTTACACACTTTTCGGTATCTACCTTTTATTTATAGAATTTAATTTAAATATACTAAAATATTTATTTTTTGAAATATTTTCTCATCTACCTATAAGAAAAGCTTTCTTAATAATATATTTGGTCTTAAACCATATTACCTTAATTATTTCAACATTAAGAAGACCGTTAGATTGTGGGTTTGACAATATTATGTTTTTTTTTATTGTTTAGTTAATAGTTTGTGATAACAATAACATTCAAGTGCCCTTGATTTGTAACTAATATTTGATTATTTACTACCATCTCACATACTATCTAAAATTATAGCTGCTTGTTTTGTAATGTTTTAAACAAGACATAAATAGAAAAAAGAAATATTTATAAATGAATTACCTAGGCTGGTTCTTATAATGTCTAGTTAAGTGTCGGTTAATGCCAATCAGCTGATTACAGAATTTATTACCTGCTGAATTATACCGATTAAGCATCCGTTAACCTTGACTGGACATCGTAAGAATGTCCCTAAAACAGAAAATCATAAGTTTTTTAAATAAAAAAGAAGCTTATTGTCATTCTTCATTTCTTTGTATTGAATGTTCTCAATAACTTTGGTTACCTAATGAATAAGAGTCTTGTGAGCTTCTTACCTATATATTGTGTTAAATCACTAATCATAAATTTTATGAAATCATATTTATGCACTCCAAATATCTAGATTAATCATAATGTACCTATGTATCAAGTTCATTATCATTACTTTTAAAATTAATACCTATTATTTAGGTACTTATTTACTAGGTACATCTATTCATTAAGTGTCAATTAATTTAAAAAAAAATGTAACTATAATGTGTTAACACATGAACTCACACGTATTGTGTAAGTGTCAACGATTAAATATGGTAGAGAAATTTTTTCCTAATTGTTATTTTAATACATTTTTCTAAAGTAATTTGTAAATTTTAATTAATTCTGATATTTTCAATATTTAACACTAATTGATCACCTACCAACACGTTAAGTGCTCCAATCATAATCATTGTATTGTTAAAGTAGATATCTATAAACATTCTTAAAATAGTAATAATTTTATAACTTGTACCTATGTTTGGAATCCTTTACAAAGATTTAACTAGTTCAAGGAGTGGATATAAATGTAGTGATTCTTGATAAAAAAATTCTTTATTCACTGTTTACTTAACCTTCCAATTTTGTGAATTACCAAATTTATGTAACGTCTTAGTTAGTCTATATTCACTGTATTCCTAATAAACTTTCATATTTTAAAATGTATAGTATTAGCTCTGGTCTCTTGAATTCAAATCTCATAATCAAATCAGAATTCTTGACCCATCAAAAAATTAAATGCAGTATTCATAGAAGTTGCATAGATAAACGCGATGATACATGGTAGAATGAATTAATCTTAAACTGTATAAATGATAGATTGTTTTTTTTGCTTACCTAATTTATTGCTTGTTAGAGTACATACTAGGGTCAAACATTATAGAATTAAGAATTTGAGTACTTTGAATCAATATATCTTATACTTTTTTATAACCAATACTTGTTTTTGATACGAGGATTGAAAAAAAATTGTGGTCATCTAAGTAGCAAATTCTAAATGGGTAGTAAAGTTGTGGTAGGATTTATTAAGTAAATAACAATTAACAACAGAATTTAATTAGCAGCCTTCCTTAAAGTTTTTATAACTAAACAAAATATAAATATACCATAAAGCCATTCAAAATATAATATTAATATATATAGGTATTTCTTATTACAAGTACCTACCTATCTGATGATATAGATTTTTTATTTCATGTTTGTGTAACTATAATATTGAGCTCTAATATCTAACTTTTGGGTGAAGCTAATAAATATTTTTTGAATTAACTATATTACGGGCTATATTATTTAAACTATACTTTTCCACCGAGAGCATGTGTCTATTTTGTGCATCCTCCCATGTCACCCTGCTATCAAAACCGGTCCCTCTGTAGCAGCGAGTCGCTCTGAGATGCGAATATCAGCACATTATTTCACTGGCCAGAGTATACATGAGCCATGAGCTTCCTTGTTAATATATATATATAACTATTACAATTAAACAGAAATTTATTCAATTTCAATTGATAAGGAAATTATCTACTTTTTTATTTAAATAGTATGGTAATAAAAATGTTTTTGTGAACTTATAATAAGTAATTTTTGATTGCAGCATCAACAAAAAGAAAACTTTTACTACCCAGATTTATAATGTACCCTACCTATTCAACACAGCATTAACTTTTTTGAATAATAATAATAATAATAATTAGGTAGGTATAATTGTAACCTGTTATAATTTTACTTAATTTTTGATTCAATTCATATCTAATTTTGAATTAACTGTTAAGAAATATGAGTAAGGCAACTTAAAATCCAAACTAACCAAAGAGTGACCCTTTTTTTGTGTAAACTTTGTTTTCAATTATAAAGTGTTTTATATAACTTCAGTATCAGCTCTTCATAAAATAGGTGTATAAAATTCCATTTCTCATCTCTAAATATTATACATATTATATTGTACAATATTTCTGAACTTATATGAACATGTTCAGTGCAGCGGAGTCTCAATAAGTACTATACTCTGTCTCAAAAGAGAATAATCAGTCAGCCGACCGATTTACATCAGTGCTATGCATCTTCCACTAACTTCCCGGTATTCATATGATCATGTGG